GCTGTCCCTGGCGCCTACCTAAAAGGGGCGCCGAACGGGATAGGAAAAAAATAAAAACTCGTTCCGAACAGCGTTGCTGTATTATGCACAGTCAACGTTAAGAAAATTGATTGCTACTGGGCTTTTAACAATTTTTCCCTGAATTGTTGTGAGGCGCCAACAAAGATCATAAGAAAATAACTTACCTAGAGTATCATTTAAAATGCAAACAAACATTTCCTGAAACTCATATTTCTTATATGTATTTGTTTTCAATTTTAAAATATTTATCGTGGAAAAAAAGGTGAATTCACGAATATAAATCTGTTTCGAATTATTTAATTTAATTCTATACTAATTTTTCACCCACAGAACCTCTATAAAATGAAGCGTTCAGTGTTAAAGTGGTGGTTCTCGCATGGGGTTATACATCTTGTATAAATTGTTATTATAAGGTTCTTCTAACAATGGCTATAAAACAAGGGTCGTTGTCAAATTGGTTAGAAAGTTTCATTTTTTTTTAAAAGGTATAGAGATGGTTTTTCTCTCTTATATGATATAGAGGTGGTTTTACTTCCGTACACATTATGGGTTTCTTATTGTATAGGATGTAGAGGTGGATTTGATCTAGAAAAGGACGTAGAAGTTGGTTTGTTTTCGCATAGTGTAGAGGTGGGTTTATTATCTATAAAAAGAATAAAAAGGTTAAGTTTTGGTATAAAATGTAGAAGTGCTGTTGTTCTCTTTAATATTGTAGTTGTGGGTTTCCTCGCGAATATGTAAGATATATGGTTTGTTTTCGAATACGACATAAGAGGTAGGTTTTACCGTCGTATTAAATATTATGATATAGACTGTAGAGGTGGGTTTTTCCTCTAAAAAAAAATTTAGTTGTGTGTTTTCTCGTATTGGATGTAGAGTTGGTTTCTTCTCGTGTATAATGTATTTAGGGTTGAAATGTTACATAATATAATGTAGAAACGGTTTTCTTTTCATAAAGGATGTTAAGGTGGTATTCTTCCCAGTATAATTTTGAACTATAACCCTTCTATATTATGGGGGTGGAGCTCTCCTATTTTGGGGGGGGGGGTGGTTTAGTCTGTGCCCACAATACCCTCCCCCCACCCTGATGTCGTCATAGAAATAATTACCTTTTCCTGGCGTGATGAAGTTCAGAAGGTAATTAGTGTTTTAAATGGAAAGAGTACATCCGCCCTAGAGAATTTAGTCTGTGATCTTGTAATTGTAGAATTAGCGGAAAGATAATTGTGTCTGATGACGTGAATGAAGACTATAAAATCAGAAGTTTTCTGTTGAGTGGAGCACACAGACTTGGTGGTTGAACGTCTCTCCAGGAACTGACGTAGACAAGTATACACACCTTCGTCTGGTTTCTCTCTCCGATAGGTTTCTTGTTAGTTAGAACAACTTTTTATGAGGTTTTATTGCTGACGTAGACAAATATACACACCTTCGTCTGGTTTCTCTCTCGGTTAGGTTTCTTAGTCGTTAGAAAAAAAAACTTTTCTAGGCAAGTATAGAAATATCCGTCTAATTTCTCTCTCCGTTAGATTTTTTTGTTAGCATTGGTAGTTAGAAAAAAAATTCTAGGCAAGTATAGAAATATCCGTCTAATTTCTTTCTCCGTTAGATTTTTTTGTTAGCATTGGTAGTTAGAAAAAAAATTCTAGGCAAGTATAGAAATCTTTGTCTAGTTCCTCTCTGTGTTAGGTTCCTTGGTCATTAGAAAAAACTTTTCTAGGCAAGTATACAAACCTTAGTCTAGTTTCTTTCTCCGTTAGATTTCTTGGTAGTTAGAACAAATTTACACGAGGTTTTATAACTGACGTAGGCAAGTATACAAACCTTAGTCTAGTATCTATCTGCTAGGTTTCTTGGTCATTAGAAAAAAACTTTTCTAGGCAAATATAGAAATCTGCGTCTAGTGTCTATCTGTTAGGTTTCTTGGTCATTAGAAAAAAACTTTTCAAGCCAAGTATAGAAATCTGCGTCTAGTATCTATCTGTTAAGTTTCTTGGTCATTAGAAAAAAAACTTTTCTAGGCTAGTATAGATATCGGCGTCTAGTATCTCTCTAACAAACACTAAACGTTACACGAGTTTAGATCTTTTTCTTGTAGGTTCATTTTCAAGACTGACATAATTATGCATGCCTATCATTTTTAGACGGACCGAATAAGTGACTTATTAATCATGGCCGAACAATCTGAATAGCGAAGACACTTATTTTCTTTACAACTTTACATGATACATTTATAATAAGGAAAATGAATGAATTTCATGTTTTAAATTCATGTATTGATTTAAATTTTCATTTGTTTAGGTCTTAAAATTTAATAATTTTTTTCCGATGGTGATAAAGTTTAGAATTTCAACAACGGTAAAAGAAATATTTCCCTTCTTGGCGACAAAAAATATGAGATTAAGTTAAATAGAATATGCCAGATTATATTAATCGAAGCAATTATTAATGTTTGTTTAGGAGTTTGAAAATGACAAGCAAGACTTCCATTCTTCTAACACTTGGTGTTGCTGTTGTTTTCTTTTGTGCAGTGTCACATACGGTAAAATATTTGCTTTTGTATTTTCTTTTATTTTGAAATTACCTAATGTAGCTTTAGGGGCGGAGTGATCTATCGGTAGAGAGCTGGACTGCTAACCCGAAAGTCTCGTGTTCGAATCCGGGTTCTAGTCAGTCAGTAGACCGTCCCTGAATCCACCCAACTCTGATGGGTACCTAACACATGTTAGGGAAAGTAAAGGCGGCTGGGCATAGTGCTGACCACACTATCCCTTCATATGCCGAGGTCACAGAAACAAGTGAACTCTACCTAACTTTACCCATAGACCATCAGGTTTGAAAGGGAAACTTTTTACTCAGCTTTGTCATCGATTGGTCGAGTAAAAGAGCGTTTGGATTCTAGCCAGACGGTGTGGAGTTTGGATCTTGGTTCGGACTTGTGACTAGCTCACCACTGAGTCCACCCAGCTCGGATGGGTACCTAACTAATGTTGGGGAAGTAATGGCGGCTGGGCATAATGCTGACCACACCGTCCCTTTATATGCCGAGGTCAAGAAATAAATGAACTCTACTGCATCTGCTCAATGGAATCCCAAAAAGAATCTTTACTTTACTTTTACTAAAGTAGATTTAATCAAATTTTATTATAACTAATTAATAATTTGTTAACATCTTCTATTCGTAACTTTAATTCATAATGCGTTATTAAATTGTATTCATAAATTATAATTCTTTACCAGATCGTTCTTATTACTCATAACATTAATTAATAAAACCTAATAAATTTGTATTTAAAACGTCGTTTGTTAACCGTAAACCAGTTTGTTATGATTTATAAAAAAATATATATTTTAACATAATGTATAAATCAACATTCGCGGATTTATTTATTCTTTTAAAATGTATTGTCTATTTCTAAAACATGCATATGTAAACTCAATACGATAACTTTAATGTAACTACTTTTTTAACAGGTACCTGTAGGCACAGAAGATTCTCAAGCTCTTCTTTCACAGGTAATTATTTTTTCTGATTTTTTTTTTCGTTCATTACCTATTTCCACACATTTTCAGATTTATTCTTACCTATTTTTTTTATTTATCCCTATTTGTTTTTAGATCTCATTATTTTTAATTTATTTTTTTTGCTGTAGCTAAAAAAATAGATCTGTATTAATGGGCCTATTTAATATTATGGGTTTTAATAATTTGTGTATGATTTCACGTGTAATATAGAAGACGATATGTAAATATATTTAAAAATGTTTTTATCTATTTCCTTAAGTCGCAGATTTGACTGATTGTGTAGATTCAGTAGATTCAGCAAGCCTTACATAGTCATACATATTTGTATTTTTTTTCACCTATAATTTAGAAGACGATATGTAAATATATTTATGAATATTTTAATTTATTTTGTTTAGGCTTCTGATTCGCTTAGTTTTGTAGATTCAGTAAGCTTTATTTTTATTTACATAGTGATACAGAGCTTGTATGTATTTTTATGATTAATGTTGTAGGGGCGCGAACACTTATTATCTAATATATAAAGCTCAATTCTGTATGTAAAAATAAGTTTGTTTGTTTGTCGTTGACATACTTCGATGGATTTAAGTGTTAGACTATTATCGTGCTCATAGTTTAAATTTATGAGTTAAAAAATTACTATTGAAAGTGTTGGGAAATAATTTTAATTTTCAAACTGATAGTAATAATTGTCGGCATATTCATTAAACACAATTTAAAAAAATAACAGAAATTCTAATTATTTCTGAAAATTATTTATATTTAGTCCTTTAGCACTTGCTTCCCTTTGATAAATTAGGAAAACACAATTACTTCCCTTTATAAAACATTGCATTAGTGGAACAGAATTTACTTTTTATTACTTTGTTTTGGTGTTGGGAAAAAAAAATAATTACAAAATTAGCGGGGATTGATCAAGTGCAAATGTTGCAGGTATTTTACGAATAAGCTTGGAGTATTATAATTGTTCATTTGGTTTGGTTTGGCACCTACGTTCGTTTAAGTGAGTGCAAAAAGACTATGAATAAGTTGGGGTACTGTAGTCGATCATTAAGCTGAAACAGGCGATTCTGCCCCGGGCTAGACTGTGAGCACTTTGCGTTTATGTTCGCGTTAGTGTTTTCTTTGTGTTTAGGTTGGGTTTGCGTTAGTGGTTGCGTTTTGATTTGGTTCGTTTTTGTTCTTTCTTTTTTCGTTTTCATTTGTGTTTTTTTCTTTGGGTTTGTGTTTGTATTTGTGTTTGTGGTTGGTTTTGCGTTTGGATTTGGTTTGTTTTCGTTTGCTTTTTCGTTTGTGTTTTTTTTCTTTGGGTTTGTGTTTGTGGTTGGTTTTGCGTTTGGATTTGGTTTGTTTTTGTTTGCTTTTTCGTTTGTTTTTTTCTTTGTGTTCGTATTGGTATTTGTGGTTGTGGTTGGGTTTGCTGTTGGGTTTTTGTTTTCGTTTGCTTTTTTGTTTGTTTTTTCTTTGTGTTTGTATTGGTGTTTGTGATTGTGGTTGGGTTTGTTGTTAGGTTTTTGTTTCGTTTGTATTTGTAATTGTGTTAGCGTTATGTTTGCGTTTTGTTGTTTTGGTTGGTTGTGGTTTGGGTGGGCAATGCCGGGTTTATGATGATTACTAAACACACAGGTAACGGTCTTTAACAGAAAGGTTTTTCACAGAAGCCAGAGCAGGGCCTGGCCGGGACGGCTAGTTCTATATAAATTACATATTTTTTAAATAAATTCAGGGGTCGGCGTGGTGGAGTCCAAAATCAAACAACTGCTGCCTTGTAGTTTGTTCTTGGTTGGACAAAGGCTATGGAAACAAATCCAAAAAGAAAAGCAGGCTGAAATCGGAGTCAATGGCCTCAATGGCGCATAACCAGTTGACCCGTAATCCTTAATTGTGACGGAAGCATGGTCGAGTCGGCAAAAGCTCATGGTTGATAAATTCGAAAAAAGTCTCGAGTTCAAACCCACTGGCAGATAAATCTCGATCCATCCCAACACTAAAAATTAAGAACAAAGAAGAAGAAGAAATAATTTCTATTTTGTGGGTTGGGGGTGAATGTGCTCGAAAATATTGCAGGAAAGAAACTCTTGTTGCATTATAAAATAGTTGCTATATTAAAATTTAAAACCGCTTCGTGACTGCATTAATTATTTATAATTACATTGAACAACGCCAACAACAAAAAATTGCAATTTTAATTGAAAGAAACTCTTGTTGCATTATAAAATAGTTGCTATATTAAAATTTAAAACCGCTTCGTGACTGCATTAATTATTTATAATTACATTGAACAACGCCAACAACAAAAAATTGCAATTTTAATTGAAATAAAAATGTAACGACTTTTGATACTAAAATCTAAATCAATATAATTTTTTTTCTTCAAACCTTCAAAACATCTGTTTACGAAATAAACGTTAATCACATATTATAACCTTTTAAAAAAGGTAATGTTTAACTAACAATAAAAAGGAGAAAATAAAATACTTAAAAAAAACTTTTTAAAAAACCACGTTTTTCTTGTGGACTAAAAAGTAGAAAATAACTATTTACATACATTTGATGACAAAAAACGTGGGTACGTTCACCATCAAATTTCCCGACCCATCTGCCCGACCCACGTTTTTTGTCATCAAATGTATGTAAATAGTTATTTTCTACTTTTTAGTCCACAAGAAAAACGTGGTTTTTTAAAAAGTTTTTTTTAAGTATTTTATTTTCTCCTTTTTAGTCCGTTGCTACACATGAAAAACGTGGTTTTTAAAAAAAGTTTTTTATATAGTTTATTTTCTACTTTATCCAATGACTTGATTAAGTATGACTTGACTAAGTGTTTATAAATACACGGACTAAAAATCTTGAGCGACCAGGATTCGAACCTGGGTTGTCGCGTCCACAACGCGAAGTACTAACCACTATACGATCACGGCCAGCGCGCTCACATCGATTGGGGCCGAAGTAACTGTGTCAATAGGCCTTCAGTCTTGTCGGTATCTTTAGAAATCATGTCCTCAATTTTATGGTCCTTAGGGCGTAACTAAATTAAGCTAATTACGGTCTCTAATTGCTAGTTTTTATGATTGCATCTGAAATTGTTAGGCGAAAGTAGCCTGCATGCCAAATTTCAGATCTATAGAGCAATCAGAAGTGGGCTAATTTTCGATGTCAATTTTAACAACAAACACATCCACAAACGCGAAGCTGAGTTAATAAAAACGTGTTAAAATAGTTAACAAAAGTCATAACAGAATTTATAATGATTTAACGCCGCATTGAGTCTATTAGCCATTTTGAACCTTCTTTAGTATTTTCATGTAGAACGTTAATCAGCAGAGGACTATGCAAATAACACCACTGATCAAAATTTTAGTTAGTTTAAAAAATCTCATCTCTACATTCACGTGCAACTTTTTTTTATCTTCTAACAAAAAAAATATATAAATCTACAACCTAAATAAAATCATATAACTCACCCATTAGTTGTTTTGAAATTAATTAATTAATTGTTTTAATTTTAACCAGAAGAGCAATGAGTCATTATCCTCATCAGTGGAAGATAATTCTGGAGACAGCAATGAAACATCTGAAGAGGAGGTAATGTTTAAATAACAGATCGCCACCTAGTATTCGCTTTCCTTTATTTATTTTATAAAACTACATATCGAAAACTATTGTTAAGTTTAAAACTGTTTTGTAAACAAGATGAATCGTGTATTTAACTGGTTATGTAAACAATTTAGTCATACGTCCAAGAAAATAAATGGGAAATATTCCTGTAGTATCCAGTCTCCATATGCTTGTAAAATTAATCGTAGTAGTATTAAATTGTTTCTTTCTTTACTTCATATTAAATATTTTGTTGACTGTATTTTTTTTATTCCGTATTGGCAAAAGAGTAAAGATGACGTAGAAAGTAAAATAGTGAAGGTAAGCTAATATACTTAGCATGTATATAGGTTAGAAACACATTATGAGAGACAATTACTCCTAGGGTTACTTGATCATTTTATATATTTCTAGTTTCATTTCAGTAGTTAGGTGGTTGGGATTTTTTTTTCTGTTGGGGTGGGGGGTGCTGATTTTTAAAGTATGACGATGTAAAAATCAGTTTAGGACGAAAGTGAACTCTTCTAAATAAGTGTTTCGTTAATATTGACGCAGCGATATTTCCAGACATTTTTCTCTCGGGAAGAGTGTGAGTGGTGAGGGGGGGGGGGGGCTCTTACAATTTCCGCCAGGCACTTTAAACTTCCGTGGGGTGGGAGTGGCGTACCTTGGTTAAATTATATATGATCAATATAATTATTAAAAATTTCAATCCAGATGGGGTGGGGGGGGGGGGGGGGGGAGAGGAAAGGGTGGAGAGATGCTTGAAAGAAAAACTGTATGGATGACCCAGTTATATATAACATTATTTTCTATCTCTATTCAGCGTGATGCCGACAAGGTTGGGACCGAAAAGGTAAAAATGTGATAATAATTTTTTTTTTTGTTTCAATTCTATGTTTATGTGTGTAACTTTCGAAAATCTTTATTTTGTGACAGATTATTCTTTACAAACTTTATCGTATACTTAAGGATATGTGCTTGTTTGTAGTTAATAACATTTCGCCTTTAGTATGAAGATATTTTGCTTAATTTTTTTTTAAAGGCAAAGAATGAAACAAACACGGAAAAGAAGGCCAAGCGTCAAGGTGGTGGCAAGAATAAGGACAACAGTAGCGAGGAGAGTAAGGAAAAGGGGAAGGGGAAGGGTAACAAGAAAGGTAAAGATGGAGGCAAAGGAAAGGGTAAAGGTCAAGGCGACGGAAACGGAAACGGCAAGGGTGAAGAAAAGAGCAAAGGAAAAAGTCAAGGACATAAAAACGGCAAGGGGCATGGTAAAAAGGCGGAGAACAACGAAGGAAATAAGGTAGAAGTAGATAAAAGTTAATTGTATTTCTGTATGAACATAATCAGATCAGTACGTACTTAGTCATCCTTAATCCTTTCGGAGTTTAGGACCTCAACCAATATATTATACTATGTCCGATATCTCGAGGGTATAAATGTATCCGTGCTGTCTCAAATATTTTAATACTATTAATGTAAATTTTTCATTTTGTTGCAGCTAGTATATTTAGATTAATGTAGACAGTGATTCTTTTAGACACTTTTTATCCTGGAATCGGGGTGGGGGGATCTTGAAAGTTTCTGGAGCGGACTTAAATTTCCGGTTACGGGGGGGGGGGGGGGGGACGACCGTTCAAATGATATATTTGCGTATAAATTCTATTTTGTTCGGGGGATGGGAGTGGCTATAGAATTGCCAGAACGAAACTCTGACTATAATAATGCTTAAACTTTACTGCATTTAAAAAGATGTAAAATATTTCCAATGCATCATTTTTGTAAAGATATAAAATACATTTTTTCAACATTTCGAGAATTCAGCCAACGCGGAATATATTGATGCTTAAACTTTACTGCATTTAAAATGATGTAAAATATTTCCAATGCATCATTTTTCTAAAGATATAAAATACATTTTTTCAACATTTCGAGAATTCAGCCAACGCTGAATATAATGATGCTTAAACTTTACTGCATTTAAAAAGATGTAAAATATTTCCCATGCATCATTTTTCTATAGATTTAAAATACATTTTTTCAACATTTCAAGAATTCAACCAACGCTAAAAACTGCAAAGGAAAAGAATGCAAGCAAAACGGTAAAGGTCAAGGAAAGGGAGAAGAAAAGAGCAAGGGTAAAAGCAAAGGTCAGGAGAAAGGAAAGGGTAACGCTAAAGGGAACGACAACCACAAAGGAAAAGACAAGGTCAAATATTTAATACATTATTTAGTATTATCAGTTAAGGACTGGACGTTTTTTAGATGTTGTATTTTTTTTAAAAACTTCATAAAAGAGTAATTCATTTAGTATTTTTTTCATTAATATCATATTTTTATTGATTAATCATTAAAAAGAAAACAAAAGTATTAAAGTTAGGAATTAAATAGAAAAATCTTTATCAAATTTGCAATGTATATTAATCGTAAGTCTCTATATAATTCAGTTTTTAATTTCAAGTTTTCAAAACGTTTGTTTGTTTGTTCAATTGTAAGTGCGGAACCTGAATATGGACTCTAAAATGACATTATTCTTCGTTTTTTCTGTCTGTTTGCATGATTTGTGTATTTTTTAAACATAGTTTTAAAGTTCACAAATAATGACTAAGTTTTAGCAGCTTTATAATTTTAGTAGTCATATTTTTGGTTTATTCCATTTTTTAATAGCGCGATGCTGAAAAAGTAGTCAAAGAGAATGAAAAGGTAAAATACAAATTTTAAGACATTACATTAATGATTTTGATTGGGTGTTTTGATAACTTCTTATAATTAATAGATCCCAAAATTAAACAATATTTACATATTTGTTTTGTAAAGGTAAATAGTTTTACAAAATTGAAATAAGTTACACATTGATACCGTTTGTAAAGTTAAATACTTTGTTTATCCTAACAGCCCAAGAATGAAACCAACTCTAAAAACTGCACAGGGAAAGAGTGCAAAGAAAACGGCAAAGGCCACGGTAAAGGTAATGGTAAAGGAGAGGGCAAAGACAAAGGAAATGGTAAAGGTCAAGGTAACGGAAATGGACACAGTAAGGGAGAAGAAAAAAGTAAAGGTAAAAGTCAAGGACAAGAAAACGGCAAAGGTAACAATAAAAATAAAGATGGAGGCAAAGGAAATGGCAAAGGTCAAGGTAACGGAAACGGACACAGTAAGGGAGAAGAAAATAGCAAAGGAAAAAGTAAAGGAAACGAGAACGGCAAGGGAAAGGATAAAAAAGAGGACGACAACAAAGGAATAGAGAAGGTGATTATTATCAGCATTCATCTATTAAAAGTGTAGATAGTTTTGGTATTTATAACAATGTGAACGTATACAACCTGGTATAATGTCAATATTTACCAAGACAACACAATTAGCTTGACATCTTCTACTAACTTTACCCTTGCCTAGAGTTCCACACTCGTAGACCAAAGTACCCACTCCCTAAAACACCGCCATCTTGGAGTACACCACCCCTAGTCAATACACAATCCGACTCTAATGTACGCGACGAATGACAGAACTCTTTAAAAATAGGAAGTCAAATTGGTGAAACACAGGCACAACAAACACAATACACCACTTAAACACATAACACCATCAAAAGAACAACACAATTAAACACAAAACAAAATACTCAACGAAAATAAATAAAACAAAACACAACAGAAAATAAAACAAAACATCACTATGATAAAACACAAACGGCGATAGGACAAATGATCTCTGACAAAAGTTCTCACGGACAAATCATCTCAAGACAAATGATTTTAGGACCAATAATCTCAAGCGCAAATGATAATAAATATTTGTAAATAGAATCAAGATTCTAAACAATGATTTTGATATATATATATATATATATATATATATATATATATATATATATATATATATATATATATATATATATATATATATATATATATATATATATATATATATAATCATAAAATGTACCTTTATCTAATACAGCGAGATACTGCTAATGCCCTAGAGGAGGTTGAAAATAATGATCAGGTGGGGGTTTTTTCATTAAATTATTATTTTTACTTTTTTTTGTTTATTATTTTATTATTGTTTTATTATTTTATTATTCTAAAAACTATTTCTCATAATGGGTGAAAAACGGTTTAGCACACAATTTAATTTAAACAATTAGTTAGATTTTAAAGTTTCGAGGCATGAGTGGGGAGGCTCAAGTCGCTTTTGAGAAAAGAATTTTTTTTTTTAAAAGTTCCAATGCTAGGAATGAATTCTACAAAACGAATGTTTCTTCTTTGTTTTGTTTTTTTAGATGTAATATATATTTGTGTGCTTAAATAGTTTTACTGGTATTGGGTAATGTATGTTTCATTAATTATATTTTTAAATTGTAAAAAAAATAATTATAATAAAATTAATAAAAATATTTTTTTGATCGAATAGGCCAAGAACAAAACAAACTCTAAAAATTGCAAAGGAAAAGAATGCAAGAAAAACGGTAAGGGTGAAGAAAAGAGCAAAGGTAAAAGTAAAGGACTAGAAAACGGCAAAGGTCACAAAAAAGATAAAGATGGAGGCAAAGGAAAGGGTAAAGGTGAAGGTAACGGAAACGGACAAGGCAAGGGTGAAGAGAAGAGCAAAGGTAAAAGTCAAGGACAAAAAAACGGCAAAGGTCACAATAAAGATAAAGAAGGAGGCAAAGGAAAGGGTAAAGGTCAAGGTAACGGAAACGGAAACGGACAAGGCAAGGGTGAAGAGAAGAGCAAAGGTAAAAGTCAAGGACAAAAAAACGGCAAAGGTCACAATAAAGATAAAGAAGGAGGCAAAGGAAAGGGTAAAGGTCAAGGTAACGGAAACGGACACGGCAAGGGTGAAGAGAAGAGCAAAGGTAAAAGTCAAGGTGACAAGAACGGAAAGGGGCAGGGTAAAAAGAACAGGAACAAAGATGAGAGCAACACAACTGCTGCACCAGGAGGCATTTTAACAACGTTGGCCAACTAGCTTACGGGGAGCGTCTAAGTAAGTGAATAAACGAACTGTGGGTTCAAATAGGTTAGTGCGTGAATGAACTAATACACAGAGAGCGTTCAGCTGAGTATGTAAAGGAACTAGTACTCTGCGTGTTCAACTAGATTTGTATGTGAATGAACTAATACACAGAGAGCGGTCAGCTAAGTAAGTGTGTAAAGTGACTAGTACACTGTGTGTTAAACAAGGTTTGTGTGTGTACATGAACTAGTTTGATAGAGAGTGGTCAGATAAGTAAGTGTGTAAAGGAAATTTTATACAGCATGTTTAACGAGGTTTGTGTACATGAAATATTACACAGCGTGTATTCAACTAAATTAGTGTGTAAAGAAACTAGGTACTAGAGAGCTTTCAGCCAAGTGTGTAAATGAACTAGAAAGTTTTCCCTAAGTAAGTGTGTGTAAATAAATTACTTGATAGAGAGAGATCAGCAAAGTTCTTGAGCGATTGATAATCCCTAGTACTTGATGAATGACGTGGTGTATCAACGGTGTGTCCAATGTCTGTTTCACTTGTACATTACTTTCTTGACGTCTTGAGAACAGCCTTTTTATTGAAGAATAATAAATGAAAATTTAATTTTCATTTACATTAACAATTTTTAAAATCTTTTTTGTAGATCACCTGGTCAGTCAAGAAGAAAAACAGAAATGCTGAAAATAAATTTTGTTTTTGGATTATTTGGTCTCTAAAAATTAAATAAATTTCAAATTCCCTTTAACCTTTGTTGGCTATTTTTTTTTTTTTGACGTCGGTCGAATTTTAAAAATATAAACTTGAATGCAAAAAGTTGTTGTTTGCTTAATAAATAGAAAGTAATTCGTAAAACTTAAGAAATTTTTCTTGAGATGTTACATTACTAGCGAAAAGATAAAAACAAATGGTAGCTGTAGTGAGGTTAATGCAATTAACATTACTAGCGGGAAACAATCTTGTTATTTTAATTTTTCTTTTATTAGAAAATGTCGAATCGTAATATGTGTGTATTCTAAATGTCGATACTTGGTTGAGATATTAAAATTATGGCGGTGAAAGTTTCAAGTGATGAAGCAAAATAAGTCAACATTGGGTTTTTTTTGGGGCTTTAAGGGGGTCTGCGTGGTCGAGTCGGTAAAGCTATGGAAGCAAATCCAAAAAGAAAAGCAGGCTGAAATCGGAGTCAATGGCCTCAATGGCGCATAACCGGTTGACACGTATCCTTAATTGTGATGGAAGCATGGTCGAGTCGGCAAAAGCTCATGGTTGATAAAATTCGAAAAAGTCTCGAGTTCAAACCCTCTGGCAGATAAGGCTCGATCCCTCCCAACACTAAAAATTAAGAATGAAGAAGAAGAAGCAGAAGCAGAAGTCAGGCTTTAAAACATGGGTTTTGTGAAGTTCTGGTGGCTTTTGTCTTGAACCCCCTACCCATAGGAGCCATACGTGTGTCACAGATATATCTTCCCCCCCCCCAATCCAATTTGAATCATTATATGCCTGCTATACAAACATTAGTAATCAGCATATGTTTCAACTCGTATACAAATCTTTAATAGAAAAAATGCTGTCCGAATTTAAGCCGTTACTTAGCAACCACACAGGAATAAGGTCACATACAATACACTAATTTTTAAAGGTATTATGGTGTCTAAGAATTATAAAATAAATCGTGTGGACGTCTATTGATAATTGATGTGTTGAATCATACAAAAAGGTAATTTTGTATTCACAAAACAAAATTTTAAAATAAATGATTTTAAAACATTGTTTAAAGTAAAAATCTAAACCGATTTTCTAAAATATGCCTTGTTTTCCCCAACCCACCCCACCTCACTCCACTCATCACCGCCGATGAGGACAGTTAGTATCTTAGCAAGACGGTAACCAGGCAAGCGTAATGTATACATAGATACTTAGTATATTTGTAGGTTAAGTTTAAGATGCTGGCACCCGCTGATATACCTATAAGGTATTATAATGTCACAGGCTACCAGATGTCACAGGCTACCAGATGTCACAGGCTACCAGATGTCACAGTCTACCAGATGCCACAGGCTACCAGATGTCACAGGCTACCACATGTCACAGGCTACCAGATGTCACAGGCTACCAGATGTCACCGTCTACCAGATGCCACAGGCTACCAGATGTCACAGGCTACCACATGTCACAGGCTACCAGATGTCACAGGCTACCAGATGTCACAGGCTACCACATGTCACAGGCTACCAGATGTCACAGACTACCAGTTGACACAGATAACCAGATGTCACAGGCTACCAGATGTCACAGACTACCAGTTGACACAGATAACCAGATGTCACAGGCTCATTGATGTCACAGGCTACCAGATGTCACAGGCTACCAGATGTCACAGGCTACCAGATGTCACAAACTACCAGTTGACACAGATAACCAGATGTCACAGGCTACATATGTCACAGGCTACCAGATGTCTTAGACTACCAGATGTCACAGGATACCAGATGTCATAGGCCCCAGATGTCACAGGCTACCAGATGTCACAGGCTACCAGATGTCACAGGCTCATTGATGTCACAGGCTACCAGATGTCACAGGCTACCAGATGTCACAGGCTACCAGATGTCACAGGCTACCAGATGTCACAGACTACCAGTTGACACAGATAACCAGATGTCACAGGCTACATATGCCACATGCTACCAGATGTCTTAGACTACCAGATGTCACAGGATACCAGATGTCATAGTTTGACTCGGTGCTAGGAGAGGGTGGGAGGTGCAGTCTCTAAGATCGTCCACCCTAGTGCGGCACCATACGGAAAAGAGAAACATGAATTGATTTTGTGCCACTTAGACTTAAAAAAATAGACTGCTACTTGACTTTATACGGATTCGACATTTTTCTACATCAGTTGTGTGACATACAAATTCTAATCGATTGTGCAAAAATCTAACTGAGATGAGGGTGGGGGGGGGGGGGGAGGGCGTCGACTAATTGACAGTTTGCCACGGGCGCTGAATGGTGCTTATGATGACTTCTACCACAATGACTTCATGTGACTTCAAATCAGTCATGCTCTACTCTGCTTCACCGCTGAGTCTAAAGTCCAGTCCTTTAACAAACATCTAATTAAAATAATTGCAAGCTTAAAGGGCTGCTGTACAAGCCACAATTATCCCTCAGTTAATTTATGCGTGTAATGGCGTCTTTAAACATCCGAGAGGCGGTTCTAATAGGTGTAGATTGTAGATTCAGGGGTCTCCAAACTACGACCCGAGGGCCGTTTGCGGCCCGCGAAGTCCTCTCATCCGGCCCGCGGAGATCTTTTTGTCCAAGGAACAATCGTTTGTTGGCGATGGCTGAGGAACTTTGCCCAGAGAAAACAAAGACATGCCTGGAAGAAACTGGCCCCCGAAATGATATTTGATAGTTAATGCGGCCCTCGGTCTGAAAAGTTTGGAGACCCCTGTTGTAGATGAACGCGAGGGTTTTATTTTCCGAAGTGTCTACTCGGAAAAAGGGTTAGGTTAGGGTTAGGTATAGGGATAGGGTTCTGCGGTTTGTTTGTAAACACACGCATGCGCAGTACCATCGAAAACATCGCCGCGAATGAAGGCGGTAGTTTCTCTCCATTGCGCATGCGTATCTTTTTCCGGCTAGAATCGACCTTGACTATATTCACAAACTGTCGAGTGTCATTAATAAGGGCATTGTCGTTGAATTTGAAAATGTAAAGAAGCAAGCAGAAATAAAGTTTCTATACAGTGGCGTAGCGAGGTCGGGTGTCACCCGGTGCCGCACTTAATGGTGTTACCCACCCCCTTGAGGCGTAGCGACCCTCTTTCAATTTTCGATTTGCACCTCCCCCTCAAACTTTCGATTTGCACCCCCCCCCCGTCAAACTTTCGATTTGCACCCACCCCCCTCCCCCTCAAACTTCTTAAAAAACTATTTAACACTCGAATTAATCACTCAATTAAGCGGAATAATCATTTTTCTCTATATATTTTGCTATTTTTTGCCTAGGTGTCACCCCCCTAAATGGTGTCACCCGGTGCGGTCCGCACCCCCCCTTCTAGCTACGCCTCTGCTTCTATATAATAGTTTTATTTGTATGTATGTCTATCGTTTTTTTTTTAATAACGCTCGTACTGTCCTTAAAAACAAGAGGAAAATATCAAATCAGTTAAAAGGTAATTTAAAAAGTTGTAGCCGGAAATTTACATAAAACAATGACATCGTAGATAATAAAGTACACAAAAATAACCGCTTATTAAAACAGACAAAAAAAAAATGAAGTTTAAAGGAGGGAAAAGATACACAAAGAGAATGACGTCATTCATAATGAGGTAAAAACTGTCCCATCTAATTTATTTTATCTTACATTAAAAGTGCATGAATACATTTTCAAAGTAGGGTGAGGATTTTGATTTAATCTTAGGCTTAGAATTAAGATTAGGATTGGGGTCACCCATTTATGAAGTCTAAAAAAAAAAATTGAATTTTAGAATCCCCTCCCTCTCGATCCTCTTTAAAAATGGATGACCCTCTTTATATATTATGATTAGGATTAAGATTATGTTTAACTTAAGATTGGTTATTGGAATAGCGTTATGATTGTTCGTATTAGTCCCAGGTTTAGGTTTAGGTTTAGGTTTAGGTTTAGGTTTAGGTTTAGGTTTAGGTTTAAGTTTAGGTTTAGGTTTAGGTTTAGGTTTAGGTTTAGGTTTAGGTTTAGGTTTAGGTTTAGGTTTAGGTTTAGGTTTAGGTTTAGGTTTAGGTTTAGGTTTAGGTTTAGGTTTAGGTTTAGGTTTAGGTTTAGGTTTAGGTTTAGGTTTAGGTTTAGGTTTAGGTTTAGGTTTAGGTTTAGAATTAGGTTTAGGTTTAGGTTTAGGTTTAGAATTAGGTTTAGGTTTAGGTTTAGGTTTAGGTTTAGGTTTAGGTTTAGGTTTAGGTTTAGGTTTAGGTTTAGGTTTAGGTTTAGGTTTAGGTTTAGGTTTAGGTTTAGGTTTAGGTTTAGGTTTAGGTTTAGGTTTAGGTTTAGGTTTAGGTTTAGGTTTGGGTTTGGGTTTGGGTTTGGGTTTGGGTTTGGGTTTGGGTTTGGGTTTGGGTTTAGGTTTAGGTTTAGGTTTAGGTTTAGGTTTAGGTTTAGGTTTAGGTTTAGGTTTAGGTTTAGGTTTAGGTTTAGGTTTAGGTTTAGGTTTAGGTTTAGGTTTAGGTTTAGGTTTAGGTTTAGGTTTAGGTTTAGGTTTAGGTTTAGGTTTAGGTTTAGGTTTAGGTTTAGGTTTAGGTTTAGGTTTAGGTTTAGGTTTAGGTTTAGGTTTAGGTTTAGGTTTAGGTTTAGGTTTAGGTTTAGGTTTAGGTTTAGGTTTAGCTTGAGAGGTTGAGGTTGAGGTTGAGGTTGAGGCTGAGGTTGAGGTTGTGATTGATGTTGAAGTTTATGTTGATGTTGATGTTGATGTTGATGTTGATGTTGATGTTGATGTTGATGTTGATGTTGATGTTGATGTTGATGTTGATGTTGATGTTGATGTTGATGTTGATGTTGATGTTGATGTTGATGTTGATGTTGATGTTGATGTTGATGTTGATGTTGATGTTGATGTTGATGTTGATGTTGATGTTGATGTTGATGTTGATGTTGATGTTGATGTTGATGTTGATGTTGATGTTGATGTTGATGTTGATGTTGATGTTGATGTTGATGTTGATGTTTATGTTGATGTTGATGTTGATGTTGATGTTGATGTTGATTTTGGTGTTGATGTTGATGTTGATGTTGAGGTTGGATAGTCTTGTCTCAGTTTAAGGTTTGAATATTTATATGACAGCCTGAATCGGACGGAATTGGCCAATACTTGTTTTAGCCAAAGCCCGAAGTGCGACCAGCCCCTCCCCCCCTTCCCCCAAATACACGCACATATATATATATATATATATATATATATATATATATATATATATAATATATATATATATATATATATATATATATATATATATATATATATATATATATATATATATATATATATGTATATATAATTATATGGGGACTCGAAAAACAATGTGGCGCGGGGGGGGGGGGCGTGAAGGAGGGGGGCACCTTTCAATATGTTTTGCCTAGGGCGCTAAATAACTTGGCGCCGGCACTGTTTGTATGCCGAGGTCATTTAAACAGATGGACTGTAATTCCTCTACCCCATATGTCTTGGGAACGATAATGACGATGATGAAAAAAAGGTTTATGCAATATCTTACAAAGGCTAATTAAAAAATATATACTTTAATGATATATATCCTAAAGCCGTTCAGAGAACTGTATTGTCTGAATGTATTACTAATGTAATTTCCAGGTCAAATTTAATTACAGTATTAGACTAATTAACCATCTAATGACGCAAGTGTCAGGCTTGCCTTCTGTATTTAACCTACCAGAAACGCAGCACTAAGCTATTCCTTCCTGCAGCTCAAGGACCCATATCGGATCCTTTTGGGAGATACGGAACTGGTGTGTACGTATTTTTGTTAGCCAGATAAACGTTGCATTTATTTTGTAAAAATATTACTAAATTAGTAAGTTAGATCAAATGGTATTGGATATCCTACTATTTATGTTTTGCTTTAAAAACTTGTTTACAGATGCAAGTTTTAAATCTTAATGTCTTAATATTGCTTTGTAATAATGGAAAACAAATTCATTTTAGAAAACTTTAGCACTAAAATGAAATGCCATTCGTGGTATATGCAATTGAATAAGCATCATATTTTACTGAAATGCATGCTCGGAATCTTTTATTAAATGATACTGAGGCATTAAATTACAACCATAAGCTCCTAAACATCTAGATATAGATTTGTTGTTTTTATTATGACTTACTGTTGACTTTACTAGTTTTTTTTTTACTCTACCCCTTTGAGCAGTCTCAGATTGTGTTAACCACTCTCCCAAAACATTCCTGCTGTCTTCAGTTCTTCGAGAAAACCCCGCCTCTTGGTTTGTCTTTCAACCTTTCTTTCCCCTTTCCTAGAGCTTCCGCTTAAGGTGTTAGGTTTGTCAGCGACTTTTGCTATGTGTGGGCCACCGATTTCTCCTTCTGACCTTTGTTGCTCTGGGCTCCTGATTTTTTTTTCACTTGTTGTGTTAAGTGCTTTGTCCTACTCTCTTTCTTTGATTATATAAGAGAACAAAATTTGAATAAGTAAAGTTCCCTTTTCGCACCTAACGGTCCGTGGGTCAAGTGAAGTAGAGTTCACCTGTTTCTGTAAAAAAATGTGTTCAGCAAATGATATTTAAAGAGGTTGTTTCAACTTTTGTATTTGTAATTGAAAAAAAAAAAAAATAACTCATATTCTTTTATAATTTTTCTCTTTTTCTTCTTCATCGTTATAAATTCGATTGGGGATTCCCTCCAACATAATTAAGTATTACGTGTCAGCTTATTATGCACCATATTGGCCATTGACTACAATCTCAACCTGCAATCTCAACCTGCATTTCTTTTTGGATTTGCTGGTATTGCCTTTGACCAACCAAGAACAAACTACAAGGAGTTGTCTCTCCTAGATGGATTGCTGTCCCCAGCTAACGAGCCTCACCTGCCCTGTGGCTTGAACTCGGGACTTTTCGGTTACCATGAGCATAACCGACTCGATCTTTTAAAGTTATTTTATGAATTTTAAAGTAACGATTCTTTTTAACATATTGTCTTTTACAAAAATGTCAAATTAAACTTTCAGGCCAGAAGATGTTCAAGACTTTAGCTCTTGTTCTTTTCTTCTCTTACATTGCCTGCTACACGGCCGTAAGTATGTTCATGTGAACAGTGTTTTGTGTGGTACTTTCATGTGAACATTATTTATATAGTACATTCATGTGAACATTATTTTATATAGTACATTCATGTGAACATTATTTATATAGTACATTCATGTGAACATTATTTATATAGTACATTCATGTGAACATTATTTTATATAGTACATTCATGTGAACTGTCTATTATATAGTAGGCCTACATTCACGATAACAGTCTATTATATAGTAGGCCTACATTCATAATAATAGTCTATAATATCGTACGACTATATTCATAATAATAGTCTATTATATAGTAGGCCTACATTCATGATAATAGTCTATTATATAGTAGGCCTACATTCATGTGAATAGTCTTTAAATAATACATTCACACGTAACAGCTAAGTTAATTATGGCACATCATAATATATTGAATAGATATAAACAGATTGTTTTATTTCGAGTGAACATAAAAACAATTATCAGTTCGTTATATAAGTATAGACAGGTCTTGCAATTGTTAATTTTTGGTTTTTGTTTCTAATGATAGCAAGAGGTAGTGTCAGATGTCAATGAAACTAGGTCAGACTCAAATGTCAATGCAACTGGCACTGACCAGAAAACCGTGAGTAATTTATTTTATCGTATCCATGGCGACTTAATCATTATTTATTCAGTAGGCAACTGCCGTGACTTCTAATGCTCAATCACCTAATGATGCAATATTATTAAATGCCAGTAAACTACTAGAAACTTGTATAGCTAGTAAAATAATGATATAGGTGTAATGGGGCTAAGGCAAGTGTCTAAAATATGCTGTTTGGGTAAACGTCCATTCGTTTGTCAAATTCGGGCGTAAGTCCACTTGAGAATACGGCCATCGGGCAAACAGCATTTGGGTACGTGTCTTTTGTGCAAAATTCCAGCTCCGTTGTTTAAAGATAATGCTTGACTACACGTTATTTTTGTTTCATTACTTTTGGTTAATATGTAAAATGTTTTTTAATATTTTTCGTCGACAATTGACTTTAGAGACAACAATATTTTTTTTTATTGGGGCGCACACATCTAGTCTGTTTTCCTCCCCGATTTTTAATTTATTAAAAACAAATCAATAAAATGTTCTATAATTTAAATTAAATTTGGTTTGTCGCGGGATGTATTTGTAAAAGAAATATTTTACACAGTAAGTAATCAGTATTATCACATCGGTAAATGCGGTTGCAATTTTTAAGCTCAATTCCCAGTTAAAATGTGTGTACAATTGTTTAAAATGTGTTCAATGCAAAGAAAATGCTAAAATACACAAACAATGTTTTTACAGGATAAAATCACTACTACACAAGCAATTAATGCACTAGTAAGTTTGTCGCTTGATTTTCTAATTGATGTGTGTGTACCATATGTTACATTAATAAATATTCCATTATTGTGAATGCCATATATTATGTTAATACATTATTTTGAATACAAATAAAATACTAAAACACATAAAAATAATGTCAACAGGAGGGAACCACTAAAGACACAGGAGTTAATGCTGTAAGTGCACCATATGTTAACAAATGTCGAATATTCATTACAAATAAAATGCTAAAATACAAAATAAATTTCATAACCTATAACAGCATTATTGAATCGCACAATTTAAAATTTTAGTTACTTAATAGTATATATTACTTTATATATATATATATATATATATATATATATATATATATATATATATATATATATATATATATATTGTCAATGTTATTTATAAAAAAATACAACTTAATTAAGATACAGTTTAGTTATTGATACATTTCAATGTTTAAAGTCTAATCAAGATTAAATCAAATCAAGGTCTAATCAAGATTAACTCTAATCAAAGTCTAATCAGGATTAACTCTAATCAAAGTCTAATACAGATTAACTCTAATCAAAGTCTAATCAAGATTGTTTCATATTTTCTCAGACGGACCCTAGCGTGCAAGCCCCGGGAAATGGAGTGAGTATTTTTAAAATTCACATTTGTCTTTTTTCTTCTTTCTTGCTTGTATTATTGTACGGGATTTCATCCAACACATTAAGTGTCAAAATGTAATGCGAAATATGGCCTTCCTTAACCTTTGTCCACTAAAGAATAAACTACAAAGCGGCCATTGTTTTATTTTGGAGTTTGATCACTTAGATCTATCGCTGTCTCCAGCTATCGAGCCTCATCTGCCCTGGGGTTTAAACTAGAAACTTTTAGGTTTAGCAGCCATGATCTTAACCGACCCGGCCACGCCAACCCCCAGTTGTGGTTGGTTAAAACTTCACGTACCAACTTAGCCACATTGTGTGTTAGTTATCCGACTGTTGTTGATGGTTTTTTTAAACTTCATGTAACAATTGAAAATAAGAAAATAAAACAAAATTGATTTCTTTATTAAAAGCTTCTGTCGCCCATGAGTTCTCTTATATATTTTAGCGACCAAAGCTTTTACAAAAGATAACACTTTTCTTATTTTCATTACATTTAGATGCTAATTGTACATTTTTAAAATTTGTTTTATTACTCAGTTTAATTAACATCTTTAAATAAATTCGATATCGCTACAAAACTTAATATTTTCTCAATAATAGAAGCTCAAAACTGTTGTTGATTCAAATTGTAATAATCAATTAGTTTTTTTTTTAAATGTAATTATTTCCGGTTGTGTAACTGAAATGGGCAGCAGGTGCTCAACTGGACATTTAGAGCTGAGTACACTAATGGGTAGAGAGCTGGACTGCTAACCCGTAAGTCTCGAGTTCGAATCCGGGTTCAAGTCAGTCAGTAGACCGTTCCTGAGTCCACCCAACTCTGATGGGTACCTAACTCACGTTAGGGAGAGTAAAGGCGGCTGGGCATAGTACTGACCATACTATCTCTTCGTATGCCGAGGTCACAGAAACAAGTGAACTCTACTTCACTTGCCCCATAGACCGTCAAGTTTGAAAGGGAAACTTTACTTACTTTTACACAAATGGGGAAAGAACCATTTTGGCCAACAAATGTTGCTAGAAGCTTCACACTTCAACACATTAAATGACATTTCATTATCGCTCTGATGTAATACCACCCAACAGTTATTCTTATTTTTTGCATCCAAACTATTTTTTTTTAAAACAAATTATGAATTGACATATTTCTTACATGTAGAAAACTAAAACCATTATTCGTACTGTATCTTACCAGAAAAAAAGGGAAAAGTGTTTTTAATGTAAGAAACTGTACATCTACAAGAGACTTCAATATGTCAAATAATGTAGTTAAATGTATGTGTTTATTTGTTTTTCAGACCCTTGCTGAAGAGGTAGGCTTAGTGTGTTGAAAAGTTGTCCTCCCTACCGTCTGAGTAGAAACCATTATACCAGAGCTGTGTTTGACTTGGATACAGTGTATAAGGAAAAGTTTATACTTTTCAAATGTGTATTTACTTTCGTAAATGAGGTGACTACACACAAACGCACATACACGCACACACGCAAACACAGAGACACAAACACGAATATATTAATATACGTATACATTTTTATATATATAAATAAGCCTACATATAGCCTATATATTACATATATAAATACTCATACACAAACACACACACACACACATATATATATATATATATATATATATATATATATATATATATAAATATATATATATATATATATATATATATATATATATATATATATATATATATATATATATATATATATATATATATATATATATTTATATATGTATATAAAATCGTTTTTCATTAGACAAAATCCAAGGCTGAAAAGAAAGAAGTAAGTTTTTTTTTTACTTTTTTTTGACAAATAGTTATAATATCAACAAAATTAAACTTAGCAGATTTACATTTGGAATATAGAAACAAATGTCTAATGGTCAAGATTTTAATTTTTTTTTATTTCTAAGACATATTTCTGTGTTTCTTTCGTAGGACAAAAAAAGTGGTTGCTTAAAAAAAGTAAGTTTTTCCATAGCAGTAAATTTATTAGCAGGTGAAAAAATGTATTACAGCAATGTCGATTTTGTTAAATATTTGTGTAAAAAAAGTTATTATTTGTTTATTATGTTTCTGAAGCTTTAATCTTCCTTACCTGAAAATGTTATTTTTGTTGTTTTACAGGGCAAAAGGAAAGGAAAAAAGAAGGTTGGTCGAATTGTCATTCACTTAATGTCGATTTTGTTAAATATTTGTGTTAAAAAAGTGTTATTATTTGTTTATTATGTTTCCGATGCTTTAATCTTCCTTACCTGAAAATGTTATTTTTTGTTGTTTTACAGGGCAAAGGGAAAGGAAAAAAGAAGGTTGGTCGAATTTGCATTCACCCAGTTTTAAGCTATGGATAGAGTGTAGAGTGATGCTTATTTTTTGTGGGTTTTTTGTTGTTGTTTATTTGACTTGCGTAATCTACAAATGTGACAGTGTTTTATTTTCGTGTTTTCAGCAGAATTCATCCGAAGAAGATCACGAAAATAAGGTCTGTATAATTGTTTTAGTTTAACCAAATGTTTTAATAGATTATGTAATAGATTTTGATTTCATTATACGATTACCCCTTTGAAATTTGAAGTGCCTGAAGTAAAATGTCAACTATTGATCAATTTAATTAAACCAAAAAAATCTTTTTTCAAAAATTCTTTGAGTGTTTTCGTGAGACATTAATAAAACAATAATTTGAAAGCATGCCATTTAGTAGTTTTATATTTTCTACAGAAGAAAGACAGGAGAGGTAAAAAAGTAAGTAAATCAGATGGTACTAGCATTTCAGTAGCAATAACTGTTTTAATTTGTTGTTTTTTTTTATAAGTTTACCGTCAGTAAAAGACGTTTTATTATTATATAAACAGAACGTCTGCATTGATAAATTATAAACTGTCAACATTTATATTCACTTTTATGTTAGAGGAAGAATAAAATTTAGAAGTGGTAATTGGATAAAATATTTACTATTGAATGGAATTATGTTTCCTTAGAAATAGCTAACCCGGCGTGTTAGTTGAATTGATTTTTTTTTCATATCTACCGTTTTACGTGTAAGAATAGTAGTATATGGGCTGTGATTATTGTGTAACAATGGTCGTGGTAATCGAATTAGCAAGAGCAATAAAACTTTAAGACTACTTATGTTTGTTAAGCAAAATTAAATGACGAAATCCTGACATTATTTTCAAAATCTTTTTTTTTCAGGGGAAAAGAGGAAAGAAAAACAAAGTAAGTCAATTTATTATAATATCTTTAATTAATTTCATCCAATTAACAGACCCTAAGTTAATGATAATTTCAAGCGTTTTGATTGAATTCGGCATACTCAATAATTACATAATAATACAAATGTAGCGGTTACATATTTTTTGTTAAAAAGCATTTCATTTTTATCCGATGAATTGTTCATCACATTTTTTTTGGGTATGGAAAAATTAAAATAATTTAGCCATCGACATCTGGACATATGTTGATTTTTTAAAATTTAATTTTTAATCTTATACACTCTTCTTCATACACCATCTAGTTAAAGTTTACAGTAGATTTCTTAACAAATGTAATAATTATTACAATACACATTGGTTAATTTCTTAGTTTAATGCAAAAAGTTAGTTCTTTATTAAATATTACGAAACGAAAACTTGAAGATATTAAAATGTCGGCGTGGTTGAGTCGGTAAAGCTCATGGTTGCTAAACCGAAAAGTCTCGAGTTCGAACACATAACCAGTTGACACGTATCCTTAATTGTGGTGGAGGCGTGGTCGAGTCGGCAAAAGTTCATGGTTGATAAATTCGAAAAAAGTCTCGAGTTCAAGTTCTCTGGCAGAAAAGGCTCGATCCCTTCCAATACTAAAAATTAAGAACGAAGAAGAAGAAGAAGTAAATGTCCTTACTTATAAATGTGATTATTTAAAATGTCCTTTACTTATGAATGTGATTATTTAAAATTTTCTTAATTTGAGAATGTGATTATTTAAAATTTTCTTTACTTAAAAATGTGATTATTTATTTTTGTAACAGAAAGACAGTAATAGAAAGGACATGGTGAGTACATATATTAATCACAGAGCGTCTTCACGTCATGACGTCATTCGATTTTATGTTGTATTGGGCTTTTTATGTGTGCTTAACTCAGATAGTCACTTGATTTGCTTTTATTCAGCATTTTGCCTAAGAAAGAAAATAAAAACAAAGTACTCAGATGTTTAATTCTAAAACGACTTGTATTTCCTTAAAATAATGATCTAGAATGTTGACTAGAATTACGTTTCTTTAATGTTTAACTTGTAAACTTTAGATGCAGTCTATGCCTCGATTTTGTATTTGTTGAAATACTAAATGTTACGTAACGTTTACTGTTTGCGTATTGTTTCAACAGTTAAAAGCATATGCTATTTAAAATGGTTCGTTCAATAAACGATTTGAATGTTTTAAGCTATCAGTAGATTGTAGAGTGATCTTTATATTTTGAGGTTGTATTTTTTTTTTGGCGTGCGTAGTCTACAAATTTGACAGTTTTATTTTCGTGTTTTAGCAGAATTCATCCGAAGAAGATTGCGAAGATAAGGTCTGTATAATTCCTTTATTTCAACAGAATTTGATAATAGATTATGTAGTAGATTTTAATTTCATTATACGAGTGCCCCTTTGCAGGGTCGTAGCGATGGGGTAGGGGGGGGGGGGTGCGGACCGCACCGGGTGACACTATTTAGGCGGGTGACACCAAGGCAAAAAATAGCAAATTATATAGAGAAAAATGATAATTCCACTTAAATAAGTGGTTAATTAGAGTGTTAATAGTCTTTTAAGAGCAAATTTGACAAATCCCGACAAGGTGGAGGTGGGGGGGGGGGGGGGGGGGGGTGACACCATGACGTAATCCCATTATATATATATAATATACAATTGTTTTTCACTAGACAAAACCCAAGGATGATAATAAAGAAGTAAGTACTTTTTATTAACTATTTTTGACAAATAATTATAATATCTATAAAAAAAAACTTAGCTGATGTACATTTTGAATAGAAACAAATGTCAATCGGTCAAGTTTTTTTTTTTTTTTTTAATTTCTAAGACATATTTCTGTTTTTTTTTTTTTTGTTTTTTTTTTTTGTAGGATGGAAAAGGTAGTGACTTAAAAAAAGTAAGTTTTTCTATAGCAAAAATTTATTAGCAGGTGAAAAAATTATTACAAAAACGCCGGTTTTGTTAAATATTTGTGCAAAATGTGTTATTATTTGTTAATTATGTTTCCGAAGCTTTAATCTTCTTTACCTGCAAATATTATTTCTTGTTTTACAGGGCAAAGGGAAAGGAAAAAAGAAGGTTGGTCGAATTTGCATTCACCCTGTTTTAAGCTATCGGTAGATTGTAGAGTGATCTTTATATTTTGAAGTTGTTTTTTTTTTATTTGACGTGCGTAGTCTACAAATTTGACAGTTTTATTTTCGTGTTTTAGCAGAATTCATCCGAAGAAGATTGCGAAGATAAGGTCTGTATAATTCCTTTATTTTGACAGAATTTGATAATAGATTATGTAGTAGATTTTAATTTCATTATACGAGTGCCCCTTTGCAGGGTCGTAGCGATGGGGTAGGGGGGGGGGTGCGGACCGCACCAGGTGACCCTATTTAGGCGGGTGACACCAAGGCAAAAAATAGCAAATTATATAGAGAAAAATGATAACTCCACTTCAATAAGTGGTTAATTAGAGTGTTAATAGTCTTTTAAGAGCAAATTTGACAAATCCCGACAAGGTGGAGGGTGGGGGGGGGGGGGGGGGTGACAACATAACGTAATCCTGCTAATGATAGAGAAAACATGCTACATCAAGCTGTATTTATAACCGACTACAGATAGAAATCGTTAGTATTATCTTAGCGCAGTTTAAAGCAATCTCAGTCGGGTGAGGGGCTCAGTGGGGGGAAGTTACATTAACTCATCGTTGCAAAATATGCCTGAGGTAAACGGTTTGGTTGAGAATCGTGATAACTTATATGTTGATCCAGGTATCGGGAAGATGGGAGGTAAAAAAAATTTTTAAAAATTAAAAAATATGTGAATACATACACATGCGTATATACAAACTTTAACTTATATAGATTCAAATTTGGCTGGCAATAGAACACGGGGGCCGGTACCGTAGCCGCAAAGTCAAAACTAACCTCGACTGACCGGCGCCTTATATGAGCTATATTACAAAAAAAAAACTTTTGCCGAACTACCCCCCCCCCCCCCTTGATATTTTGTGAGGTCTTAGACTGACTCTGGAAGGTAAAAAAAAAAAACCCATTATTTCCTTCGGATAAACCCTTTAGGGTTGTTAGATTTGTCTAGATACCGTATTTTCATATATAAACAATTGTTAGTGAAAAAGTAAACAAAGACTAAGTCATTTGGTCGGTGTAAAGGGGAAGTAACTTTTTAAGTTATAATTTCTAAATAATGTTTTTACTATTTTAAAGAAAAAACATACATCACAAGGTAAAGCATTCATTTAAATCAATATTCCGTTATATTTCAAGTTGTGTATTGTACTAATTTTGTAAAAGTTAATTTCAAAATTGGTATAAGTATATTATTTGATTTATACTTTTAATGAAGACTTTGCAGTTCTAATAACCTAGCGAGTAATAAGTTTGCGAATGCTCCACCAATGGTTGCATGACTTAAATTTACTCAGACTGTTTGTTCTTAAGCCCTAAGCACTCCCATAACAGCCAATCACCAATTAATTATTAATCATTCAATTTCTTGAAAGTTTTTTGAAAACCGAAGCGAAGCTAGGCAGTATGCCTAGTATATGTATATATGTATATATGTATATATGTATATATGTATATATGTATATTTACATATAAATATATATTAAAAAAAATATATATATATATATATATACATACATACATATATATATATATATATATATATATATATATATATATATATATATATATATATATATATATATATATATATATATACATGTGTGTGTGTATAATTTTTTAAGCGGGGGGGGGGGGGGGGTGGACACCAAAAGTGCAGCACCGGGTGACACCCGACCTCGCTACGCCACTGCCCCTTTGAAATTTTTAAGCCCCCCCCCCCTACCTGAAGTAAAATGTCAAATATTGATCTATTTAAACAAAAAATATCGTGTTTTTTTCTTCATTGAGTGTTTTCGTCGGACATTATTAAACACTACTTTGAAAGCATGTCATTTAGTGCTTTTATATTTTCTACAGAAGAAAGGGGGGAGAGGTAGAAAAACAAGTAAATCAGATGGTACTAGCATTTCAGTGGCAATAACTGTTTTAATTTGTCTCTTTTTAGCAGTTTACCGTCAATAAAGGACGTTTTATTATTATATAAACAGAACATTTGCCTTGATCAATTTTAAACTGTTTTTGTTGACATTTAAAACACTTTTATACTAGAGAAAGAAGAAAAATGTGAGAGGGATAATGGGATAAAATGTTGAAAATTAACGTGGCGTGTTAGTTAAATTGATTTTTTAACGTCTGCCATTTTACACGTAAGAGATTACGTTTATGGGTTGTGATTATTGTGTAACAATGGTCGTGGTAATCAAATTATCAAGGGCAATACAACTAAGATTACTTATGTTTGTTAAGCAAAATTAAATGACGAAGTCTGTACATTATTTTCAAAACATTTTTCAGGGTAAAAAAGGAAAGAAGAACAAAGTAAGTCTATTTTTTATAATATCTTTATTTAATTTCAAGCGTATTGATCGAATTCTGCATACTCAATAATTACTTAACGAAACAAATGTAGTGATTACATATTTTTTGTGTTGAAAAACATTTCCTTTCTATTCGATTAATTGTTCATCACATTTTTTTGGTTATGGAAAAATTAAAATAAGACACTGACTTCTGAACGTTAGTTGATTCTTTTTGACATTTATTTTTTTATCTTACACACTATTCTTCATACACCATCTAGTTAAAGTTTACAGTAGATTTCTTAACAAATGTAATAATTATTACAATACATATTGGTTAATTTCTTAGTTTAAAGCAAAAAATTAGTTCTTTATTAAATATTACGAAACGAAAACTTGAAGATATTAAAATGTCTTTACTTATAAATGTGATTATTTAAAATTGTCTTTATTTATGAATGTGATAATTTAAAATTTTCTTTACTTATAAATATGATTATTTAAGATTTTCTTTACTTATAAATGTGATTATTTATAATTTTCTTTATTTATGAATGTGATTATTTATTTGTTTTTTAAATTTGTGAATGTGATTATTTAAAATTTTCTTTACTTATAAATGTGATTGTTTATTTGTATAACAGAAAGACAAGAAAAAAAAGGACAAGGTTAGTACAAATTTTAATCACAGAGTGTCATGACGTCATTCGATTCTTAGGTTATATAGTTTTTTATTAAATATTACGAAACGAAAACTTGAAGATATTAAAATGTCTTTACTTATAAATGTGATTATTTAAAATTTTCTTTATTTATGAATGTGATAATTTAAAATTTTCTTTACTTATAAATGTGATTATTTATAATTTTCTTTATTTATTTAATGTGATTATTTAAAATTTTCTTTACTGATAACTGTGATTATTTAAAATTTTCTTTACTTATAACTGTGATTATTTAAAATTTTCTCTACTTATAAATGTGATTATTTATTTTTATAACAGAAAGAAAAGAAAATAAAGGACAAGGTTAGTACAAATGTTAATCACAGAGTGTCATGACGTCATTCGATTCTTAGGTTATATTGGGCTTTTTATGCGTGCATAACTCAGATAGTGACTTAATTTGGTTTTATTCAGCATGTAGCCTAAGAAAGGAAATAAAAACAAAGAACTCAGATGTTCAATTCTAAAACGACTTGTATTTCCTTAAAATGATTATCTAAAATGTTGGCTTGAAATATTTTTTTTTTAATGTTTAACTTGTAAACTTTAAATGCAATCTTTGCCTCGATTTGGTATTTGTTGAAATACTAAATGTTACGTAACGTTTACTGTTTGCGTATTGTTTCAACAGTTAAAAGCTTTTGATGTTTAAAATGATTCATTCAATAAACGATTTACATGATAGACGAATCGTTAACTATTACTACATAATTTTTACTACTTATTTTTCGTTCTTAATTGTAATGTTGGAAGGGATGTCCTCTAATACATTCAGTATTACGTGTCAACATGTTATGCTCCATAAAGGCCCCTGAATCCGACTTCAATCGACTTATTTTTCTGGGTTTGCTTCCATTGCATTTGTTCACTCAAGAACATTTTGATGGTTAGCAGTTGTTTGATTTTGTAGCTGTCTCTCACGGTTCCAAGAAAAAGTTGCGCAATCGGAAAAGTGCGCAAACAGAAAAATGCAAAATAATTATACTAAAAAAAATATTTAATTTTTGTCCTATCTCGAGGAAATGTGTTTCATTATGGTACAATAATAATATCTATAAATGTTCAATGCAAAAAAAAATGCCTTTGCGCACATGTTTGTACGCAGTTTTCCCATCTCTTCAGTCACAATCTCTTTCAGAAGGATTGCTGCCCCAGCTATCGAGCCTCATCTGCCCGGTTGTTCGAACTCGGGAATTTTCAGTTCAGCAACCATAAGCTTTACCGACTCGACAACGCTGACCTCAATTTTACCAGCTTGAAAAATTAGTCTGTGGACTTAGGTTATTTTGTAGAAATACTTGGGGTGATCAAAGCTCACAGGATAACACTGATCAGAGTTTCTACAAGGCATCTCTTCGGATTTTAGCCCTCCCCGCCCCCCTTCTGAAAATTTCAAGTGCCCCCCCCCCCCCCGGGAGAAAATAGTCTGGAACAAACACTGACAATGATACTATGTATATTAATACAGAAGAATCAAACATCGAATTTTTTGTCCACTTTATTTTGTTTCATATATACTTTGTTTTTGTTTCAGGGTAAAAAAGAAAAGAATGGAAAAGTAAGGTTTTTTTTTCTAAAAGTATTTTAAATTATTTTTTTCTACATACGTATGTTGAACTAATTATGGTTTGAAAAGTATAGATTAAATTTTAAAAACTTCATAGTTTCTAACGTTATATTTACCTTGGGTGATCTAACAATGTTACTACTTAGCAAATATACATCATTAACTGACCTTCTGAATTAACATGAGTTATGAATAAAATAGTCAAATAAAACAATCGTTGAAAACAATGTAAACTTTTAAAATTTTCACGAAAGTGAGTTATTTATTTTTCCTAAGTTCAGTGGTGTTGAGGATTAACTTGATACATTAGTCACGTGATAAGTGCAGATTTGATGGTCTGCTGTAGTTCACTCACTTTTATCATACAATGAGAAAATTGACTGCTTAGAAATAAATGTTTTTTTTTTTACTTTCAGAACAAGAAAGAAAGAGGAAACAAAAGGGTAATTAGATTTACAAAAAAAAATTTCTTGAAAAAGTGTCAACTGGTCTGGCTTAAGTGAATGTATTCCTTATGTGAATTCAATGGCTAACATTTTATCTATAACACTTTTAAAAGTTACCTTCAATATTTTATTTTTAATCTTGTCATCTTTTAGTTAAAAGATTTAACTTCAATTTTGCGTACAGTAAGCTTAAAATTAGATACCCATTTACCATTACATCTTTACTCTGTAAGCTGAAAACGTTAATAAATAACAATAAGGTTTAAAATTAAGAACACAATTACCATTACATCTTTCCTCTGTAGGCTCAAATAATTTTAAAAAAAATAGCATGCTTTGAATGTAAGGTGTTGTGCTCCGTTATGATCCTTTGGGCAGAGGAAGTAGAGTTCATAAAATTGTATCAAGTTAAACTGTGCTCAATGTCATTTGCCTGTCATTTCTCCACCCTCCCGAGCCATTTACCGATCCTAACTTGCTAAAACCAGGGACATGAACCGAACCTAAAATATTTTGGTTAGTAATCGAGTGCTTTACCTTACGACCACGCCCGCCCCGTGAAGTACTGTCGGACATCCAACCGAGGACCAGCTTAGGAGTCTGGGGCAACGCTTTAAGAAAATAATTTAAAAAGACATTCAAAATATTTTTTTTGAGTTCCAAACACGCAAATGACGGGATTGATATGAAATCATGTACTAGACTATAACCCATTCGTAGTATTCTGCACAGTAGCGTAGCCAGGATCGTCTCATGGGGGGGGGGGGGTCCCAAATTTGTACCCGAGGACAAACTTTCCATTTGCACCCCCCCCCCCCCCCTTCAAACTTTTGATTTGCACCCCCCCTCCCCTCAAACTTTCGATTTGCGCCCCCGCCTTCAAACTTTTGATTTACACCCCTCCCAAACTTTTGATTTGCACCCCTCCCCCATCAAACTTTCGATTTGCACCCCCCTCCCTCATACTTTATGTATTTACCGAGGGGTCTATGGGGGGTTATGACCCCGAAACCCCCCCTGCTTACGCCACTGATTCGGCATTACTTGAAACTCAAAAGGGACTAGCGTAGTCCACTGACCGCGATCCACTGCTCCATACCTGTTCCATTTCACTGAAATCGCTTACTCTTGTTCCTTTATTTTTGTTTTTAATTTTAATTTTAATTTTAATTTTAAATTTATTTTAAATTTATTTTTAATTAATTTTTTTTTTTTTTGTAGAAAGACAACTAGAAAAATAACAAGACATCCGAAACAGAAAAGCAACAACAATAAAGTAAGTTTTTATATTTAAAAATCACGCATCACTGAACTATGGATTGTCATTTTGCTTTTGACAAAATATTATCCGTGATGTTTACTTTTGAAAAAAACCTACATATAAAATGTTTGTACAATAATAATTGGACTAAATACAATATTGATATTTTAGCGCAAGTTATAAAATTAAAATTGAAATTGTAGTTCTTTCCCGCATGTTGAATTCTTATTCTTTGTTTTACTTTCAGGAAATCGCTTAAAGCAGTCATGGAATGCTAGAGAAAACTAATTTTGAAACACATTAATTATTCATTCGATTAAAGATAATAAAATGTTAGTAAAATCATTACTCTTTTTGTTTTGATTTAATTTGTATCATTATGTTTACATTTTATAAAATAACATTTACATTTATATTTCTCTTGTACTAATGTCAATGGAAGTTTCGAGAAAAATCTCTCATGTGTGAAGGAAATTCTACACAATTAATCATCCACACAAATGCAAAACCACAAAAGCCCACAATTACACATCTTAATAATTACACAACCACACAATTACACACCACACTATTACAGAACTACACAAATACACAGCCATACAATTACACAATCTCACAACCACACAGCCACACAATTACACACCCACACAATCACACAACCACACAACTATACAGCCACACAATTACACAGCTACAAAATAATACAATTACATAACCACATAATTACACCCCACAACCAAACAGTTACACAATTACACAACGACACAATTACACAAAGACACACTTACACAATTACCCAGCTACACAATTGCACAATTACACAACCATGCAATTACACAATTACATAAGCAAACAATTACACCCCCACAACGACACAATTACACAGCCATAAAAATACACAGCCACGCATTTACACATCCAAACAACCACAGAATCGCACATCCACACAATTACACAACCACACAAATACACAGCCACACACTATTACTTACCCACACAACCACACAATCACACAATCACACAATCACACAATTACACAACTACACAATACACAGCCACACAATTAAACAACCACACAATTACATTATTACTCACCCACACAACCACACAATCACACAACTACACAAACACAGCCACACAACCACACAACCACACAATCACACAATTACACAATTACACAACCACACAATCACACAACCACACAATTACACAACCACTCAACTATACAGCCACACAATTACACAGCTACATAATTATACAATTACATAACCACATAATTACACCCCACAACCAGACAATTACACAATTACAAAACGACACAATTACACAATTACACAAAGACACAATTACACAATCACCGAGCCACACAATTCCACAATTACACAACCATGCAATTACACAATTACATAAGTAAACAATTACACCACCACAACGACACAATTACAAACCACACAATTACACCCCCACAACCACACAACTCTCTGACATATAATACAAACAAATCGGAATCAACGGGCTTTACGACGCATAACATGTTGACACATGTTATAGCAGATGAAGTAGAGTTCACGTAGCAGTGACCTCGGCAGGTGATGTGGTCGTGTTGTAGAACTCACGTCTGTTAATCTGTAAGTCACCAGTTCGGTTCCCGGACAGTAGTGCGTGAGATGCCAGGAGTCAACTCAGTTTTAATGGGTACCTGACTAACATAACGACATATAAAGCTGAACGAGACAGAATAATAACAAGGCAAATATAGGATAGACATTCATTTCACTAAACTGCTGGTGGAAAGCAATGAACTCGATTGTTGCCTAGCAGTGGCGTAGGTAGGGTGGGGGGGGGGGGGGTTAGGGGGATCATACCCCCCCCCATTAGCCCCCTCGGTATATATATAAAAAGTATGAGGGGGCAAGCAAATCGAAAGTTTGTCCCCGGGCAAAAATTGGAACCCCCCCCCCTTGAGACGATCCTGGCTAAGCCACTGTTGCCTAGTTTATATAAGCGTTTATTTTGTTCACAATGTGTGTGAGTTTGTGGCCAATCGTTCAATTTTTGACCTGTTTATAATGAAGCGATTTCCAGATACATTCGTCTCCGATGACAATGTAAAAGTATATATTTTAAAAGTTTTATTAGATTTTTGTTTTATTAATAAAAATCTAATTACAAGCCGGCTATATTAAGTGTAGTGTTCATAGTGCGACCGCTAGTGAATCATTTGAATCATTTGTGTCAAATTAGTTGCTTGTTTTAGTGCTATTTCAAGCGCTAACAATTAATGTCTCTAATAGGGGTTAGATCGTATAAGCTGTTATTTCAGGCTCTGACATGCATGGCTGTGTTTCTCGGGGAGATGAGTTTCACAGCAGCAACACTACATTGAAGAGTTTATTGTAGGCTGTTGTTTATTTTGTCGAACAAATAAACATGTATATTCAGATCGCTGACTAGTCATAAGGAACATGATTAGCTACTTCACCTTGCGTGAAAGAGATAACTTGATCCTGAGGTTTTCTTGCAATACGTCATGAAAGTAGTAGGAAATGAAGGTAATAAGTAATGAAAATAATAGATAATGAAAGCAATACGTCATGCAAGTGGTAGGTAATGAAAGTAATATTTCGGGAAAATAGTAGGTAATAAAAGTAATATGTGGTGAAAGTAGTAGTTAATGAAAATAATATGTCGTGAAAGTAGGAGGTAATGAAAGTAATATGGTGTAAAAAGTAGTAGGTGATGAAAGTAATATGTGGTGAAAGTAGTTGCGATGAAAGTAATATGTCGTAAAATAGTAGAAAATGAATGTATTATGTCATGAATGTAGTAGGTAATGAAAGTAATATGTCAAGAAAGTAGTAGGTAATGGAAATAATATGTGGTGAAAAAATTAATAAACATCGGTTTCAACTTATTGAAGCAGAATTTTCATACAAAACTATAACACATGAGTGTATGATCAATATTTTCGATACTCTATCGCCATCTTTTCCCGGTCGTGCCCAGAACTACTGAGCAGATGTAGTAGAGTTTGTCTGTTTCAATCTCGATCAATTCCTAGGCATATGAATAGATAGTGTGATCAGGACCTTGCGCAACCGCCTTGGTTTTGCTAATGTGAGTCAGGTACTCATCAGAGCTGGGTAGACTCAGGTTCAGAGGCGAGCCAGGGATCCGAACTCTAGACTTTCGGGTTAGCAGTCGTTAGATCTACCACGTCAGCCAGACCAATTCTTTAATGTAGGGGGAAATAATTGATAGGCTTAAATACATACACATTGTCTGCCCCTTTCTGAAAGCAATATGAAGCGTCTTGAAGGGGAGTTAAAGCATTTAGAAATCATTACGTATGTACAAGCCTAGTTAAAAACGTATTTAAATTCATCAGAGGATTAGTCCCACATCCCGTCTTTACACCAGCCCTGTGTTTAGCAAGCAGACATTCGACTGGTTAAAATATTTGTTTTCCTCTTTGTTATCCGTGTAGTGTAATTGATGTATTATTATCTAATGGTAACGACTAATTAAAGAATTAAGCGAACGAATGCCTGGTTTAAGCGAATGCGAGCTGAGAGACATATATATGTTACTGGCCTATTTATATACGTATTAGCTGGGACTTACTAATTACATGTGTATTAAGAACATGGTTTTATGACATTGGAAACATGATGTTATGACATTTGGAAGACATAAGAATATTTTGAAGATTTGATGACATTGAGAATATGCCGTTTTGACATTTAGTAAACGATATTATAACATTGATAATATGATGATATGACAGTAAAAACATGATGCTATGTTATTGAAAACATCATATGACATTGAAGACATCAAGTTATGACATGAAGAACATGATTTTATGACATCGAAAACGTCATGTGACATTGAGAACATGATGCTATGACATTAAGAACACGATACTACATTTAGAAGATGTTTTGACGAAGATTATACTAACCAGCACTACATAAACCGTAGATAGGACTTTGTAACGCTTTTACAAATAGGTTAATATATTAAGCCTCATGTGCAGTTACAGTTAATGCACCTGGATGTGGTTCTAAAATGGCGTAAAGAGTTTCTCACTTAGGTAGAACTGTATATTACGTCAGCTTGTGACGCAGTTTAAGATTATAACTGGAGTCAGTTAACTGCCTATCATACTTGTGTTTAAAGAGAGAAAAAATCATATAAGTTGTACAACATAGCAAAATATATTATCTGTCCTTGCAGCTAACAACAAAAACGTACCAAACCTCCCTGTAGTACATAAATTCACATCAAAACTATACCATACCACCCTGTAGTACATAAATTAACAACAAAACTATACATTACCTCCCTGTAGTACATAAATTCACATCAAAACTATACCATACCACCCTGTAGTACATAAATTAACAACAAAACTATACATTACCTCCCTGAAGTACATAAATCAACAACAAAACTATACCTTCCTGTAGTACATAAATCAACAACAAAACTATACCTTCCTGTAGTACATAAATTAACAACAAAACTATACCATACCTCCCTGTAGCACATAAATTAACAACAAAACTATACCATACCTCCCTGTAGCACATAAATTAACAACAAAACTATACTATACCTCCCTGTAGTACATAAATTAACTACAAAACTATACCATACCTCCCTGTAGTACATAAATTAACTACAAAACTATACCATACCTCCCTGTAGTACATAAATTAACTACAAAACTATACCATACCTCCCTGTAGTACATAATTTAACTACAAAACTATACCATACCTCCCTGTAGTACATAAATTAACAACAAAACTATACCATACCTCCCTGTAGCACATAAATTAACAACAAAACTATACCATACCTCCCTGTAGTACATAAATTAACAACAAAACTATACCATACCTCCCTCTAGTACATAAATTAACTACAAAACTATACCATACCTCCCTGTAGTACATAAATTAACTACAAAACTATACCATACCTCCCTGTATCACATAAATTAACAACAAAACTATACCATACCTCCCTGTAGTACATAAATTAACTACAAAACTATACCATACCTCCCTGTATCACATAAATTAACAACAAATCTATACCATACCTCCCTGTGGCACATAAATTAACAACAAAACTATACCATACCTCCCTGTAGTACATAAATTAACAACAAAACTATACCTACCTCCCTGTAGTACATAAATTAACTACAAAACTATACCATACCTCCTTCTAGTACATAAGTTAACTACAAAACTCTGCCACACACTTCTGTCCTGTATGAACCCCCTGAGTCCATGCCAGGTTTAGCTTGTGTTTAGCACCTCTTCTTTATTCTCTCCTTCCATTTAACTTCCCCTCTATCATTGACCAGACTAACTCCACGTGCATATTTTCTTGTACATTCAAAAGGCCTGACCCCAGCATTGACTATCACCTTGCATTTACCACACAAACTAAATCATTCCTGCTTCTTAACTCTCTATTTGTGATTCACCCATCTTATTGTATTCTTACCATACATGCGAGTGATAGTTCAAGGATATTCTTGACACAACCTTTAAAAACCACATAAATTAAGAATTCAAAGATATTTTACGCAAGTTGTTAAATCTACAAAAGCTGATGTTCAAAATATTCTTTCAACAAACTCTTCACCATCTGTGTTTTTATTTAATTAGTGTCGTACGACAAAGAATATGAAACAATTACCTGTTTTGACACCGATTACAAGATTTAGCTGAATCTCTAACGACACAGAAGATTTGCGTCATCCAACCCAATCATTAGTTGAAGAGAGCCAGGGCAAGGATTTAGCTTAATTACTGAGTTTGATGTAATTAGTTGTCTACTGACGCACGCGATTGCACGCTGTGGTGTATAAAACATGGGACAAATCTAGCACTGGTCACAGCTTCTGCAGAACCTGAAAAGATCGTCTTGGACATACACAGGTCTGTTATTGTAAATATATATATATATATATATATATATATATATATATATATATATATATATAATTGTAATATATAATTTTGTATTTTATTTTCAGCATCTATAAAATACAAAGATAAATGTTTTGAATCAGAAAGTTTCTAATGATAGATTTTGTGCAAATGATTTCTTGCAGCCAGAATAATAATAAATAATCTAAAAAAAATTTTAAAGTATCATAAGGTCTTTTTTATTAAAAAGCTAACAAATTGAAAACTAGAGTTTGCGTTTAGGATTTAAAATTTTCATATTGTTATTTACTCAACATATATATATATATATATATATATATATATATATATATATATATATATATATATATATATATATATATATATATATATATATATATATATATATATATATACGTGTTCGTAAGTTATTTTTAAAATTTTTACCATAATTTTATAACACAACTTGATTTCTTTTTCATAAAAACTTGAACTCACACAAGTGGTAGAATAGAATATATTTTGTTTTTGCTTTGCTAAACGTATAATGTACGCAAAGAAAGCTCTGATATTTTTTTAAATGAATATTTCAGACCAGAAGATGTTGTTCAAGATTTTAACTCTCGTTGTTCTCGTCTCTTACATCACCTACAACACAGCGGTAAGTACTTTATGTGAACACGCTTTTATATGGTACAATCACATTTAACAACGAAATTCATGTTGGTGCATTCCCATGTGTAAACAAAGTTCATTATGGTACATTCACATGTAAATGCAAAGCTCATTATGATACATTCACATGTAACAACAGTTCTTTATGATACATTAACATGTAACAATAAAGTTATTTGTGATACATTCACATGTAACAAAAGTTCTTTATGGTACATTCACATGTAATAACAGTTATTTATGATACATTCACATGTAACAATAAAGTTCTTTATGATACATTCACATGTAACAATAAACTTAATTATGATACATTCAGGTTTTAGGACACATTTCATGATAGCAGGCTACATTCACTTTCATATGAAAGTGGGTTTTCTGTCAGATATTGTATTGATCAAATTACCAAAACAAAACTGATAGTTTTTGTTTTTGTTTTTCTTCCAGCAAGAGGCTGTTGTTGGCCCAGCCGCCGGTGGTACTGCTGTAAGTTGTTCTGTTCTTGTTCTTTGTTGTGTGTACACAACAGCTGTAACCATGACAACCGCATGTCAACATTAGATTTAGGTTCCTGGATGGCAATAGAAATCGAAAGTTGCCTTAAAGTCCCATATGTCAAAAGTAAACAAGCGAGATAGAATGACAAGAATATGTAACGATATGACATTTAATGACATTTAATGTCACGTTAAAGTAAAGATTCTTCTTTAGATCCTAGCGATCTATTAGGTAGCTGAAGTAGAGTTCATATAATTTTGACCTCGTTATTTGAAGGGATAGCGATTAACCAGGCCGCCTTTTACTTTCCCCAATGTAAGTCAGGTACCCATTCAGAGCTGGGTTTACTCAGTGACGTTCTACAGATAAAAGTGCAAACCGAGATCCGAACTGAAGACCTTTGGGATTTATAGAGTATCGATTTGATCAATGATAACATTTTACATTTTTATATTTTAGTTACATATATTAACAATAGCTAATCTTTACTAATTTTTTAAAAAGCAAGCCGCAACTCTATTTGCCTGAATCGAATTAAACGAAATAGAGTTTTGAATGATGCATTCATCAACTCTTTAAGCAATCATGATACAATAATATATCAATAATGTTATATATATATATATATATATATATATATATATATATATATATATATATATATATATATATATATATATATATATATATATATATATATATATATATATATTATTCTTAGTAAAATAATATTTATACTATCAATAAATATTTAATATATAAAACTTGCATCTATTTATCTCTATTTATCTTTAAAATGTATCAATTACAATATTCAATTGTATTATATATATGACTTAAATTTATCAACAGGATGACAAAGTTACTGATGCTCCATCTGTCAATGCTGTAAGTTTGTGACAAGAGACCAATATTTGAATAAACTAAATTTAGCTAGCATATATTCTACAAACTAATTGTAATATCTTTTAAATACGAAAATTTTACAAATGCTTGATCCTATTTAATATTTTATAAGACGATTTTAAAATGTATTTTAATACAATATGGATCTTAACACGGAGAATCAACAAAACTAAAAAGTTATTTGCTGTATTTCAAATTATTCAATGATTTCGATATATAGAAATACCTTTACACTTTTTTTCAGACTAACCCTAACGTTGACAACCAAAGTGCTGGGGTGTGTATATTTAAATTTACGCCTGCCTTGTGTAGCTAGCTACAACATCATTTAACACACTTTAATGTGTTAGCTTGTAAAATAATTTTATTTTTAAAATTTAAATCTCTATTTTAGGAATAGCTACGTCATGTAAATTCTTAGACATGAATAAAAAAAACCCACACCTTATCTTGTAAAACGAATCAACAATGCCATAACAAAAAATTGGTCTTGAGAGTTTGTAGTTTCTTTAAAAATAAAAATAAAATATTGACATATTTATCAATAACTATGAAAAATGCGCAATTAGTAAGGAAAAAAACCCACCTTTAAATCTGTAAAAACAGAATATTGCAAACGAAATATAAAATGTTTATTTATTTCACGTTTTCTCCAGAACAAAACTGCAGCTGATAAGGTAAACTACCTTAAACCTAAACTTTCAAATAGAAAAAGTTATTTATGTATATATATATATATATATATATATATATATATATATATATATATATATATATATATATATATATATATATATATATATATATATATATATATATATATATATATATATAAGCTGATTTTTATATTATATATATTTTTTAAAGTAGATATAATATTCATTTTAATATAACGAGAACTTTATGTTAATATAACGTGATAAAATATGTTGGCTACCTTCCGAACAAATTATAAAATTCCAATTTTGATCTCTAGAATGACGAAAAGGATGGTGATAAGAAAAATGTAAGTTGATTTTTTTATGCAGAAAGTTCACGTAGTTACGTAGTTTTTGTCAGTGATAAATGAATTTTGGAAATTATTTAGATATTTAATATTTTTATTTACAATATATAAACGGAACGAAATATAATTTTATTTTTTACCCTGGAGACAGAATTTAAAATCATAAAACACACAAAACGTAAAATCAATTTAAGAGCAACATTTAGAAAAAACAACAATAGTGTTTGAATTTCGGACAAAATATTTAAATTATGTTTTTATTTAAACTGACCCAATCATATTTTCATTTTTTAAGGGCAAAGGAGGAAAGGTATGTTGTATTGAAACTATATTTTCAAATATTTTACACAAGTTATGACTTTGTTTCATAAAGTTTTTTTTAAGTTCATGAATCGTTCATTTATTTACAAGCTGGGCTGACAACAGTTTATATATATATATATATATATATATATATATATATATATATATATATATATATATATATATATATATATAATTGCATTGATATTTAAATACGAATTTTACAATTATTACCTGGTATACACGAATGTCGGTGCTTAAATTATTTATAATATAATAAGTAAGGAATATATATCCGCTCTGCGACATTGCTGTTGATAATAGGTTTCACGTAGTAGGGATTATAGAATCAAATCACAGTCATCAGTTTAAAGTGGTTCAGCGACGATGTAACATAAAGTGGGTTAAGATAGCGATACCATTAAAATAAGACAATTAGCATCGTAAAAATATTTTTTTTCATTTTTTTTAGAACTGGGGAAAGCATAAGGTAAGTACAGCCAAAACGAATTCCTTTTTTTTATTACAAGCTTAAACTGAGATTTTCATTTGTCAAATAGTGTAAACAGAGGTTATTTCACACATATTAAGTTAAGATAACAAGTAAAATATCATGTTAGGTTAAGCATTAACAACAAAGACATCGCAAATAACGCTCTAGTTCAGTGGTTCCCAACCTTTTTCGAGTGGCGAAATTTTTATAAAAATTAAGTGACCCGCCACCCCCATAGAATTAAAAAGCCGAAATTAGTATGGAAATTAATAACCACTAAAATAACATTTTCTAGTAGACTTTCAATATGAACTACTCTTGATAACTGTTTTAATACCATGAGTAAAATTGCATACTATTCACTAAACAATTTTTTTTAAAGCATTTTTTTTGTTAACGCCAACCTATGTCATTATCATTATCTTAATTTTGTTTTTAATCGAAAAATAGTGTTGAAAATCTATTCTCGAAAAGTCAATCAATTTTACGTTTGGGTATGAATGGTGAATACTAGACCAAAATTGAGTGTGCAGTTTTTTATCTTACGCGGAATCATTCTACAAATCAAAGAATTCATCTTGTAATTCATCGTGAATGCTGGCAACATCGAGGGAAGAAGAGAATGGATAATGCGTCAATGCAGATTTTTTTTTTCAGCCCAGAGAAATAGCGCTGCAGTTCGTTTTCACTTGATTCAAGATGCCCAGAAATTTCTTCTTTCAAAATTTTAATTATCTCACAATTAGATTCATCTACCGCACTGCAGAGTTTCTCAAATTTACAATATTTTCAAGATTTATTTTCTTCGCCGATTTTGCAGCTTTGATAAAAATTCCCCGAGATAATCATGGAAAGTGATAATATTCGTTCATTTTCCCTGAAGCTTCAGGTTATGCTTATGTTGATGTTCGAACACATCTGCTAGGTATGATACTCTCTCCAACCAATCTATGTCGTTTTAAGTATACCAAAAGGTCTTGTTTCCTTTGCATTTCCAAGAACAATTTGATTTCAGATTTCAATTCAAAAACACGATTCACAACAATTCGTTTGATAGCCAGCGCACTGTAGTGTAGTAGAGCAGAACCTCGTGATCTTTATTCAGGTCTTTGCTCAGTTCTTTGAAGGCTCCAGATTTTATATAATTTACCACTTATACTAGCAATGGAGTCTTGATGGCGATTGGTGAGGGCAGTGGTTAGGGAGCTAAATCTTTTCTGCATTCTGAAAGCTCGATTTTGACCTAAACATAGATGGTGCACCATCCGTACAAACCCTCACAGCCGTTTTAACCTATTTTAATCATCCAATTTAAAAAAAAAATTGTATTTATTTTCTCCATGCTATCTTCACAAAAGAGAAACTCTTCTTTGCTATCATCCGCATGAATATAGACAAAGACCAGCAACTGCGAACACGAAGTCACGTCTGTTGATTTATCAACTTGATAACAGAACAATGGTGAAAGCTTAATTTCAATAAAAATGTGTTATTTAACATATACGGACATGTAAGAATTAACTTCACCATCTTCAACATGCAGCGTTTGATGAGATTTTCTCCTATTGTGTTTTTTTTTTGCTTGGCATTTTCTGTCGCGACTTCATGTGATGCTTGCACTAATGCTGTGTTTCCTTGGTGAAAACTTCCTGCTCGATCAATTCTCTGACGTTTGCAACTAGCTTCATACCGACGAAAGAACTCTATATCTTTTTTGGTGTGTTTCGAATGACTCGTCTCAAATGACGTTTTAGTTTTGAAGATTTCATAAACTCGTGACTGAGAAAAACTTTGTACAGTACGCTTTGCTTCTTCTCTATTCCATTTCCAGTGATGTTAGTAAAGCCGAATTTCAAAAATTCTTCTAAATATTTATGTTTTGTTTCAAATTACTAAGGTTTAGTATACCAGTTGGCGACCCCCCAGAAAGCCCTTCGCGACCCCCAGGGGGGTCGCGAGCCCCAGGTTGGGAACCCGTGCTCTAGTTTGTCTGCAATATAATGAAAAATAGCAATGTCTAATGTATGTGTCTTTTTGCAATGCGCGAATGCTTTTTATATTTACTTTGTCATTAGGGAAAAGGCGAGGGCGACAAAGTAAGTAATACGACAACTTTTTTAAACAATTTAACTTCTCTAAAAAAAAAATTGTACTTACAAAGTGTTTTTATTTTATTATTTAACTATAGCTTTAAGGGCATTAACATTTAAATCTTTTGTGTATTGTGTTTTCACTTGTTATTTTTTAAATCTTGTAGGAAGAAAGAGGTGTGTGCGTTGTATTAATGTATAAACAAATTTATGTGATTTCTATTAAATACTGTTACTTTCTTTATAAACAGATTTATGTGATTTCTGTTAGATACTGTTACTTTCTTTATAAACAGATTTATGTGATTTCGGTTAGATATTGTTACGTCCTCTGAAAACAATATTTCATGTGGTTTCTGTCAGATATTATGTTGTATTAATTTATTAACAACTTGATGTGATTTATGTAAGATATTGTTACATTGTATATATGTCTTAGCAACTTTATGTGATTTCTGCCATATATTGTTATGTTGTGTAAATGTATTAGCACCTTGACGATGTCAGATATTGTTACGTTGTATTAATGTATTAACTTTATGTCATTCATGTAAAATATTGTTACGTTTATTAATTTCGTTTATTAAATTATTAACAACGTTATGTGATATATGTCAGTTAGCGTTTAATGTTTCCATATTACTAGGTTGATTTTAACAAAACAAGTATAAAGCCTAGACTTACTTCGCATACAAAACTAACCTTTCGTCGAGTGCTGTACTTTGGTTAAATGTTTTTAAAAAATTACATAAAAATAACAATTATATTTATTTGCCTTGATTCGTATTGTAATCAGGATGCGTAGTTTTTAACTACAAAATTTATAGATTTTGTTTTTATGTTTTTATTTTCACAGGGCAAACATGGCGGCAAAGGAGAAAAAGGGGTTGTTATTTTTTTTTCTTTTAGTTACCGGTATAAGCTGTTTAGATTGCGTTTATGAATCAGAATAATTAAATCAATTCAAAGAATTAAAAAAAAAAAGGAAAACTAAAGAAATTTACGAAAGTAAAATTGTTTTAATAGACGCTTAGGATAATTTTTTTTTAGGGTAAAGACGGCAAAGGAGGCAAAGGATGCAAGGGAAATAAGCATGGATCAGGAGAGAAAAAAGAGGTAACATTATGAGGAATGTTGGATATGTTTAGCAGTACCAGCTGCCTGATACACATATTTCACACACACACATATAAATATGTAGATATATATATATATATATATATATAAATATACATATATATATATATATATATATATATATATATATATATATATATATATATATATATATATATATATATATACTTATTACTTATTTTTTTTTTTTTTTATTTATTTATTTATTTATTAATTTATGTATCTATTTATTTATATATTTATTTATCTATTTATTTATCTGTTTTTTTATGACTAGTGGGAGGTAGAATAAAAAATATTTAAAACATTCATTTTCTAATGTGTTAGATGAGGCTAACTTTATTATCCAATGTGAGACTTTCAAAATATTGACTAAGTTCGCCACAGAAAATAGACAAAGATTTGCTTCTAAAATATATATTATACTATAGAAAACGTATCTTTGAGCTTTACGACGAACTTTGGTTTATTAATGACATTTACCAAAAATGTATTTACTATTTAAACTATTTGTACGTCTAATAAATTCACGTAATTTACTATAAATTGACTTTTATACTTGGGAAATGTTAACTAATTAAATGCTTTAATTAATTAAAGTACGAGACTGTAAATGTATTCATAATTTAAACTTTGACATACAAACTAATTATGCGTTTAATTAATTAAAAGTATGTTACGATTAAATGTGTAAACACTAAAAATGTGTTTTGTGTTCTACAGGCTAACACTGCCAATCAACGTTCTGCGGTAAGGCATTAGTTATTATCGACAGGGGTGTAGATAGGGAGTGTATGGAAATGGGGGGGGGTGAAAGTCAGTGTATCTATTTCAAAATTTCAAATAAATTCTACGTGGGTCTATGACCTTTTAAAAATACGGAGTCTACATTCATAGGTAGGGCAAATACAATAATCAATGTTATTGCAGTTTGGTTGTGCAAGCTTAATAAATGAATATAGTGGCACTTATTACAATTATGTTAATTACAGCGTTCCAGCGTTGGAAACGGAGGCCCCAAGACTGGCCCACCACCACCTGGCCAGGTAAGATATTTTATATTCTAACCAGGTCACAAGCCAGGTAATGTAACATGATTTATATTAAAATATACACATTGGCACACCTTGATAGAACGCTACCAGAACTGAAAATGTTTTAGGCATAATTACCTACTAAGCATTCGAGTTTGAGCTCGTATTAAGCATGCAATAAAACAGTATTTGTAGTGTGTATTGTAATAGAGCCCGCTGTAGTGGCAATTTGTTTACTATGTTTACTTTTTAAGCTTGTTATTACGCCTTATTAGGCACGTTACGCCGTTATATTTTGATTCATCTAATTATTACGATTATAATTTTAAAATGTATTTCGCTACCTACATGACAATGTCAACCCTACAATTAAAACAATTTTTAAAATTCTGTATTCGGTTTACCTGCTTTACTTTTAGTTTAATCAAGTAAAAATGTGTATAAAGTATGTTTTTAATACTTTTTTTGTTCCCCTCCCCCTAGGTTGGGCCAACTGGAAACACTGTAAAGGTACACTTTCACGTTTTTTTATTTAGTTTTAACAGTTGTTGTCACTGGTTTTTATTCATAATTGTGTTTTCCTATTTAGTTTTAACATACTCAGTTGCCACTGGTTTTTATTCATAATTGTGGCAGGAAGAAGTTACGATTTTGACCCTAGATGTTACTAGAACAGGTGAAGTAGAGTTCAGCTGTTTCTGTGACCTCAGCATATTATGAAGCGGTGCTGTAGTCAGCCGCGTTTACTTACCTTAAAGTGAGTTAGATAGCCTTCAGAGCTTGTTAGACTTAGAGACGTTATACGGACTAAAATCGCGAGATCCGAACTCGAGACTTTGGATTTGGCGCACTAATATTTAACCTAATTGTTCCTTAAGAGAGAAAAAAACGTCTTTATCCAGACAAACTTCAAATCTAGAAGATAGTTGATTGTTAATTATTCAGACAAACTTCAAATCTAGAAATTAGTTGGTTGTTAATTATCAAGAAAAACATCAAATAGAAAAACATCAAATCTAGAAAATAGTTGGCTGTTAATTATCCAGGAAAAAACTTCAAATCTAGAAAACAGTTGGCTGTTAATTATCCAGGAAAAACTTCAAATCTAGAAAATAGTTGGTTGTTAATTATCTAGACAAACTTCAAATCTAGAAATTAGTTGGTCGTTAATTATCCTGAAAAACATCAAATCTAGAAAATAGTTGGCTGTTAATTATCCAGGAAAACTTCAAATCTAGAAAATAATTGGCTGTTAATTATCCAGAAAAACATCAAATCTAGAAAATAGTTGGCTGTTAATAGGGCTTGTAAGTAGCTTGTAGATTTCGAGAACGTAGACTTACAAGCCCTATTATTCAGATTGCTTCAAATCTAACAAAGAGGTGGCTGTTAATTATTTAGACAAAACTTTCAAATCTAGAAATTAGTTGTTCTTTTATTATCACTACGCAAGCGTTGAATCTAACTAAAAACGTGTCGTTCTTTTCCCCAGCGTTCCCCTCAGGATCCCCAGGAAACCGTGGATGGGTCAGCCGCGACCAGACCACCCCGGGCCTCTCCCCCACCAAACCCTGTGAGTACTGTCTAGCTCATGTCACGTGACGTTTTAACAGCTCATGTCATCTGACGTTTTAGCGACTCAAAAATGGGTCAATCACACCGTCCTAGTTATCTTAAACAAACATTTGACTTCGTCTAATATCATTCAAAGTTTGTCTTCATTACTTACATTTTAGTTCTGTATTGTAAAAAAAAACCACATGTTTAAGTAACACAAAAAACAAATTTTCGAAACATCTCAATATAATTTTTTTTTTTTTTTTTACAAAGGCACCATAAGAAAAGATTCTTAAAGGTAAATATATGATAAGCATTTGAAATATTTTATATTGCTTAAATGATATATAAAAGTAGACTTTGCAAATTGTTATTTTCTGTCTTATAATAATAAATTTTAATTTTTTAAACGTTATACAATATATTTTGTTTTTCAGGAAAGTCCTAAATTAGAAGAAATTAAAAAGCAATAAAAAGTGAAAACTCTAAATTACAACTTTGAAACCATTTTGAATATACCTTTCTAATTCAGAACCAATAAATCGTTTGTGCAATCTTATATTTGTTTATCTTTTATAATTTCCAAAACATTTAAGCTTGTTTGCAGTTTTAATTTTTTTTTAAAAGTACATCTTATTATTAGAACTGTGATGATTCTTACATTGGAAATTTAAAACCATCTGCATTATCATTCGATAATTGATACCAGAATAGAAACGGACCAAAATGTAGACAACGATTCGTAAGTCGAATCATTTTCCAGGACCTCGTGTAGATATACAGTGTCACCCTGACAAGAGAATAATGAAAAAAAGACAAAGCAAAATTAAGTCGCTTAAACATACCCACCAGTTGATACCCACACATGTGTCTTACTGTATTGAATAAAGCAAAATAATATATAAATGAATCATTCATCCAATTAAGTTAAATTTGATGTCAGATTGCATTGTCACCGGGTCTTGGCCTAAGTGCCAAATTTAAGAGAAATTGATCGGTTAGAAGTGCTCAAAAATTTGCTCGCTCCTTTCGATTTAGACAGACTGAAAAGGTAAGCTAGTTGAATAAAAGCTTTAAAGAAGAATATGAATGTAGTGTATATATATATATATATATATATATATATATATATATATATATATATATATATATGTATGTATTTATATATTTATATATATATGTATATATGTATATATACACATTGGTGTGGTGCAAAGATTGGAAGAGGATAAAAAGTGATTAACATAGTGCTTGAAGGGTTCATAAGAAATCAAAGCGTCTAGTAAATTGTAATGAAACATTACATAATAATACTGAGGTACCGGATTTAAATCAGTTGAACCTGACACTATTTAGGAGGTGACACCAAGACAAAAAATAAAAATTATAGTAGAAAAATGCTTTTTGCCATTTAAATTAATGATTAATTAGAGTTTAAAAATGTCTTATTAAGTGCAAATCAAAGATTGTGGATGGCGGTGACACCTGGACAAAAACTGCTAAAACAATTTTACATACAGCTACATACATCGAGAATGTTCAGTTGCCTCCAATCTTAGTAACGCCTACACAGGACATTACATTATGTTATTAATACTACACAAAATGCGATGCTAATCGTTCAATGACAGATTGCTTATACAACTTGGTGATGAGAAAACAGTAATGAGTTCAATCGTTTGCTGCAAGATACCGTTTGTTGCGATTGTTTTATAGACTCCATTTAGATGGCAGTATATTTTCATTTAGAAAACGGTCCAGCTTGATTGACTCGAATAATGACATGGTTTATTAGACATATTTGTTTCTGCAATTTTAATTAAATTAATCTGCTTACTTCAATGCAAATAGTTGAGTTTAACTACATTAAATAGCTGTTCTGTTTTGATTTGGTGCAAAACTTCTGTATTAACCAAACTTGGGATAAGAAGAATTATGCTAATTCATCAGGGCACGAGTGGTCTAGCGGTAGAGAGCTGGATTGCTAACCTGTAAGTCTTGAGTTCGAATACGTGTTCCCTGAGTCCACCCAACACTGATGGGTACCTAACTCACGTTAGGGAAAGTAAAGGCGGCTGGGCATAGTGCTGACCACACTATCTCTTCATATGCCGAGGACAAAGAAACAAGTGAACTCTACTTCACTTGCCTTATAGACCGTCAGGTTTGAAAAGGGAACTTTACTTTTGTGCCTAATTAATCAAGACCGGTCATACAATATGGAAACACACTCAACAATTGTCAGTATCTGGTTTTTCTTCATGAATGATCACAATGAAAGCTTTTATGATATTTTTAAAAATCAATATATCCTGCTAATTTTTAAATTCATTTTCAATTACACAGAAGACTCCCCGAATGTACAAGATAAATTATTGAAGAAATGATTTTTTTTTTCGTCAAATTTTTTGAAACACTGATCTACATCATCTATCCTTCTTAGTCGAAACCATATTGCTTATGGCTAGAAATGTAAAAGAAAGATTTGTAAGATGCTTTTTTTTTACATGACCGAGTTAGTTAACTTATGTTATTTATATCAGATGGTTTGTAGGATATTATTTAGGACGCACGATCGTTAAACTTGACGGGTCAGCTCAATTTGTAGATATCAAATATTAGATATTAGGGGAGAGAATGAAGTATATAAAAGGGGAGTTTAATGTGGGCAGTGTGTGTGCCTGTATAGAAGAATGTAAGCCGTCACCATTATTATTATTCTACTATTGATCATTGTAGATGTCTCAAGCTCCAAAGATGGGTATATATATATATATATATATATATATATATATATATATATATATATATATATATATATATATATATATATATATATATATATATATATATATATAAAGTTATACGTTCATCAAGAAGTGTACTGTTAAGTGAATATTATGAATCCACAATAACAATGCTACACATAAGTATTTTTACAAATAACAAACAGCTACAGATACGGAAAAGAGAATCAATGACTATGAACACGTACTATTTTATACCCATTTTAATACATATCAACCAATTATACTGTTGAAAAACGCAAATTATAAGGTAATTAATCAACCAATGAAATGATTGTAAGTATCAAAGAAATAATCATATGAAATAATACAAAAAAAATAATCAATTTTCTTAAATAATAAAAAAAATCATTGTTAATAATAATTCAAAATATGTTTTTTTTAATTCCATATTTAACTGACATTATAAAGCCGAATTCAGCAGTTGTATTCTTTTTTTCTTATTTAAATATACATTATTTCCTAATGACATTATTAAATTTAACTCGTTTTGTAGGAAGATAAAAGACAGTTAAAAATATGTAGGCAACATAGTAAAAGGAAAACTTATAATCAAATATAAAATTAATTATAAAATTGCTAATAATAAGATGCATTTTTAGAGTAAGGAATAAATCCCAATTAGTATAAATTCGGAGAAATTTCGATCTTATTATTTAGTTAATGTTTTTCCAATCAGTTTTATTCTTCTTTTTTTTAATAAAATAATATATAAATAAAATCGAAATCAATTCAGCATTGTGAAAATTTCTAATTTAAAAGGTTGTTACAAATTATAAATATGAAATAATAAACAACTAATTTAAAAAAAATGATATCGTAGATCCCATTACTTGTATATTATTTAAATTTAGCACAAAATATTAAAATTCCATCGGGACCCAATAGGCATGAAAACTTAATGTAATCATTTTAAAAATCTTTTTTAAAATTGCCAAGCGATAAAATTAAAATTACATTTGTAAAAACTAAAGTCGTTTGAGAACCATCGATTACACTCATTTTTATATTTTTGTATTGAATATAAGCCTTTGAAATAAATTATTGCTTTAATTCAAACATTTTCAAAAACTGCCCCAACCTCTCCTTGAAAACAACCAGAATGGCCAGGGAGAGTAAAGAAATAACATTTAGAACAGTTGTTTTCCATGATAAAAATACACAATAGTGATCTATGGTGTATAGCGTAGTATTGTAATTTTATTGTATTTTTATTAAATTATTATTAACATTCACAATCACTTTAACATCCTGACTCAACTAATTCAAATAAAAATTAAAGTGTTGGCTAAATTACTATTATATCACTAGTAATTATTTCTTCAACTATTTCTAGTTTTAATGTAATTGTGTGCAGTTTACTCAAATGCTATGAAAAACATTCAATTTTTGTTTTAAAAAAATGCTTTCTGGCAACAAACATTTGGAACCAGCTTTTCAATTAACAAAAACATTCCATATTTTATTATTTGGAGAACGAACCAATTAACAAAAACATTCCAATTTTTATTATTTGGAGACCGAAGCAATTAACAAAAACTTTCCATATTTTATTATTTGGAGAACGAACCAATTAACAAAAACATTCCATAATTAATTATTTGGAGAACGAATCAAGTAACAAAAACATTCCATATTTTATTATTTGGAGACCGAAGCAATTAACAAAAACATTCCATATTTTATTATTTGGAGAACGAACCAATTTAAAAAAAACTTTCCATATTTTATTATTTGGAGAACGAACCAATTAACAAAAACTTTCCATATTTTATTATTTGGAGAACGAACCAAATAACAAAACCATTTACAATACATCGCAGGAAACAAAAGTGGTTGACGTTTCCTCTACGTCCATGCTGACAGGATCTGCCATTCTGAATATAGTACATGGCCCGCTTAGATAAAGCATGAATAGGAAACAAAACGGATCCGCCACACAAGCTGTGAAACATTCCTGCCCGGATGATAAGAGAAAAGATACATTTTAAAGGAAGGATAAACGTAAGATTAGCATATTCCAACAATATTAAAAACGAGAAAAATGGCCCGTTGAGGAAGGATACAATGGGTGCTAGGATGATAGTGCTGTCTATATCTCGGTACTTTAATTTATACAAAATATAGTCATAGGCATATCCCTAAACCATGCACCTAATCTCATTCATGACTAAAGTCGCATTTAGAGTTTCTTTCAGGCAACTCTACTTGGGAGGAGGGGCTTCCAAAACATGTCTACCGTCCCATTCAACGAAATATAATTATATACTTTTTCCAGTGTCCGCACCCTCCCAGAAAATTCTACCCCCGCCCCCGAAAATTTCAAATACCCCCACCCCTCTCCGGGGAGGAAAAAGTCTGAAAGAAACACTGGTCGTATTTGTAGATCATACAAACTAAAGGAAGAATCTGGGCGGGGCTTCGCCCCTACCATAAGAGATGCTTGAAAGAAAAAAAACTGCACGCTAAACACTTTTTAGATTAGAAAAAGTTCCCCCCTCCGGGGAGGAAAAAGTCTGAAAGAAACACTGGTGTCGCGCTTAGCCACTACCCGAAGAATTTAATTAAAGAAATTGCAAGAAAACCACTTTTTAGATTAGACACATTAATTAGGCGGTAATTTTATTATAGAGTATCGATGAAGAAATTTCTTTTGAGTTGGGGGGGGGGGTCAGACGCGGGGGTGGGGCTTCGCCCCCACCCGAAGAATTGTATGAATGAAACTTTTCACGCAAACCACTTTTAAGATTAGACAAAATTGCCTTTTTATTCAATGTTTACTCGAGAATCAATGACGTCATAAATGTGACGTCATATTTCGTTTTCTTTTCACTGTGAAAGTTTTTAAATTGCTTGTATTTTCTCTAGAGCGTTCTTGTCAGATACATAGATAGATAGATAGACAGACAGCGTAACTATTAGTATTAATAATAGACTAGTCTGCTAAGAATTGCATCAAAAAAACATGTTTCTAATGTTAAATGTTATATATATATATATGTTATATGTTATATGTTATATGTTATATATATATATATATATATATATATATATATATATAATATATATGTTATATACACATATATATATATATATATATATATATATATATATATATATATATATATATATATATATATATATATATATATATATATATGTATGTATATATATATATATATACATATATATATATATATATATATATATATATATATATATATATATATATATATAGATATATATATTTATATATATATATATATATATATATAGTACATACAATTCGCTAACTAAGCATCTATTTTCGAAACAAATTTAATTTAAATTTATCCCATGCATAACCCTTCTTCTTCGTTCTTCGTTCCTAGTGTAGTCTTTTCTTTCTTCTTCTTCGTACTTAATTATTAGTGTTGAAGGGGATCGAGATTTATCTGCCAGTGGGTTTGAACTCGAGACTTTGTTCGAATTTATCAACCATGAGCTTTTTGCCGACTCGACCAAGCCTTCAACACAATTAAGCGTTACGTGTCAACTGGTTATGCGCCATTGAGGCCATTGACTCCGATTTCAGCCTGCTTTTCTTTTTGGATTTGCTTCCATAGCCTTTGTCCAACCAAGAACAAACTACAAGGCAGCAGTTGTTTAATTTTGGAGTTGTCTCTCCTAGAAGAGTGACTGTTCGAACTCAAGACTTTTCGGTTTAGCAACCATGAGCTTTACCGACTCGACCACGCCGACCCCTAGTGTAGTGTTGGAAGGGATTCCCTCCAACACAATTAAGTATACGTGTCAACTGGTTATGTGCCATATAGGCCGTTGACTCATATTTCAGTGTGCTTTTTTTTTTGGGATTTTCTTCCATAACCTTTGTTCAACCAAGAACAAACTATAAGGCAGCAGTTGTCAGATTTTAATGTTATCTCTCCTAGAAGCTTTGCTGTCTCAAGCTATTGAGGCTCATCTGCCCGAAACTCGAGAATCGACCACGCCGACCCCTTACATAATCCAATACTGAACTTTTCACTATTGCTTAATTCGCAAATGGTATTAAATTTACAAATATTTTAATAATCAAAATATTTTTAAGGAAAAAAGGCTTGTATTATATTCACAAATATCACAACCACGATCACAAATGAAAAGAAATGCACTACAAAGTAAAAATAAACATTTTGGTGTAACTTTACTAAAGCTATGCTGGTATGACTAAAAGTAAAAGCCTGTTACGGGTGGGTTGTAGGTTAGATTACAATAGGATAGAATAATCTAGAATTAGGGAGAGTGCGTGTGTGAGTTCGAGTTTACCCTAGAATATTGTTAACCCCGGTGTGTTTATGTATTGTTATCCCAAGGTCGAATGCGGTATAAAAGCTGGATTGAATGATTGTAAGGGGTTAGTTGGTAGCGGTTAGGACGAGGGCTACTCTGTAATGTGAATATGGGAGACCGAATAAACGTATTGAACGTAAAACACGAGTCGTTCTTTATTTGAACCTAACCAGGACGAAACAATGCCTAAGCGCTTAATTATGAAAAATATATTCACTTTCATTGGGAGTCCATGGATGAGTGTACGTTCTATAACAAAATATAAGATATATGTTCAAGTTCAGTTATTTAAAATTGTATTTTCTATGTGAGATTCATTTGTCATATTTTAGTCGTTTTTTAGATACTAAAAATATTTGCATTAAATTCCGTTCCTTAGCTTTTGATCTCTAAAGTTGAGTTTTCTGTCCCTAATAACCTCATGATCGACGAATAAGCCAACCGTAAACTGAGCCGAGTAGGCTACAGCTTTGACGTTCCTCTGATGTCAAGCGGTAGCTAATATTTTTTTCTTTCTTGTTATCTCCCTTTTTATAATTGAAATCGGTTATTTTTAAATTAGATTTTTGATAAATATTTCGATATTCATGTATTGTTATCCAAGATGTATCAATATGCCCAATTTCAACTAAATTGGGGACACTCACGCACACGCACGCACGCGCACACATACACACATGCACACTCACACTTACACTAACACACAGGCATACTCGCAAGCACACACAGACATACTGAGCAAATTAAATAAAAGCCTCAAATTATAGTAAAACACAACAAGAGTGTTTTTTTCTATTTCAGTTATATTGGTAATCTTACCCCTCAAGCATAGGTTACATACACAGAAAAAAAAATCTGAATTTTATACTCTACTAGACGACCCGTTATCCTATGATAACTGTGGGTTCGGTGGTCATCTACAATGTCATCTCGTTTGTTTGACTATTTTTATCTCTCCCCTTCCATACCTACTGTCACGTATCATCATAAAAGCCAGACTCCCACTTTAAAAAGACGTAACACCTCAGACAACATGTTTTTGTCTTTTGAAACACTGATTTCGTCTGTGCAAGATACTCAATATACTGTGAAATTAACTTCGCCTGCCATTTGACCAGCCAAGCCCCAAACAACATGGTCTTGTATTTTAAAACACAAATTTCGGCTGATCATGGGTCTGACCACACTATCCTTTCCTATCCTGAGATTACAGAATCAGGTGAAATCTACTTCACCTGCCCCGTGTCTCGCCAAAGTCCCGATATGCAACTTGTTTAATATGAAAATAAGGAGATAAAGAATCTGGAAATAAACTCTGCATGCAGACCACTTTTAAGATAAGACAAATAAATGAGGTGGCAATGTTAGTGGCTTTATTACCAAGTATCAATAACGACATTATTATTGTGTATATTTTTACGGTAGGAGATTTAAAATTCTGTATTTTTACTCTATAATTGATGACGTCATTTTATTGTGTGTACTTTTCCGAGGAAATCCTAGTGAAAGTTTTTAATTTTTGTGAAAAGCAAGTATTTGTTCAGAACTTTTATAATTAAGGTGTTGTCAACAAATAAATATATTATAAATAATTTAATTACCGTATTTAAATAAATGTGTGTATAATATTTGTTTGAAAAAAGAACATTATTCTCTACATCAATACGTATTAAACAGTTCTACAGTCATATTTCAAATGCTCGCATCTAACGGAACAGACACACACAAAAATAAATGCAAACATGTAAACAAATTCGAATTTTAGTAGCATATAAATAGATTATTTCGCGTTTCGGAATGTTTTGTTAAAATAATAGAAATTGATTAATATACTCTATTTCGACCGTGCTCGGTCAATATTATAGAAAGAATTCGGTAAGATTTGACAATGTGTGAAGGAGAGGAGGAGTAAAAATCGTCAATAAAAGAATGACGTCACTAATGATGATCTCTTACATTTACAGTGTAATAATTTGTTGATTGCATTTCCATTCTGCCAAAGGTGGCACATTGGGCTGGAAATTTAAAAAAAAACAATTATTTTATTTTAAACAGATGTTTAAGTATATGCACACTAAAAAATCACCGATCATTATGTTCAAAAATATATGTATTTAAAAAATAATTTAAACGTGTACTCAAATGTATTAGTACTAGTGATTACTACCAGATATAAAATATGATATAATTAGGTTATTTATTCAAGAGCAGATGTAGGATTACTGAAAGGATGAAGCGATATTAAATACATGTGTAAAAATAAAACAAAACGCGTAGATACTATAAAAAATAGCATTCAAAATTTTTACTTACAGCTTGTATTACTGCATTTGATGTAATCTATAGAATTTACATTAATATTAGTGTCAACTGCACTACCCGCCACTGGATAAACGATGCAGTCGCCGCCTATTTGATATTCGAATGATAAGCATAACGGCTGGCTTACACACGACTCAAAACATTCCTGTTGACACATTCGTTGTAAATGGACATGTTAGTTGTATATTATAAAATATATAATAATAAATATCCTTATTAAAATATTGTAAAAACTGAGACAAGAAATTAGCATTATTCAAAAATAATTGTTATAAAATTTATTGATGGTTTTATTTTTTTGAATTATCACAAAAAAAATTGAAGTTCCCCTTTCAAACCTGATGGTCTACGGGACAAGTGAAGTAGAGTTCACTTGCTTTTGCGATCTCGGCATATGAAGAGATAGTGTGGTCAGCACTATGCCCAGCCACCTTTACTTTCCCTAACATGAGTTAGGTACCCATCAGAGCTGGAACAGTCTACTGGCTTGACATTCGAACTCGAGACTTACGGGTAAGTAGTCCAGCTCTCTACCGTGAATAACCACATATTTGTACAAAATCAGCATTGCGTTCTTATCCTCTACTTTAAGGGGCTTTGTGCATTTTTAAAAAAAAATCACCAAAATTCCAATAATTCTTCATAATGGGTTTCCTCTACTTTTGATACTTTGTCCATTTTTGTATTGAGAAAATTATAACGTTTATGGGGAAAAAACATTTCATGTGTTGAAAATAGTTTTTATGATCCTGTTAATTAAAAAAAGTATTATTTTTTCCAATCTTACAACCCCTCTACGAATAGTTTAATTCGTCATCATATTTTATTTGGCATCATTGGAAAGCTGGATATCTTATGTATTTGATACTTGTATTTTCCATCTTCTAAAAAGCACCCAAAGCTTATAATCATCTTTATAAAAGACATCGGAATGGTATTTTCGTGAATTAATTTTCGAAACGTTTTGCTTTTCTTTTCTCAGTTCGCTGTTTTTTATGACTAAAACGCATACTACGTTTTTATTTATGAAACAATGACCACCATATTTTCAGTAATGCTCTTCATGCAAAAATAAAACTTTTGTCACGAGGGAATTGTAATGGCTTTTACAGAAAAAAAAAAGGTTTTGGTAAATAATATGCAAATTTGGAGATATTTGCATACTAAAAGGATGTGATACTTTGGAACTTTTAAAATTCTGACCGGTAGCTCTATCAAAAAGTCGAAGAGACACAAGTTTTAATATATACTGACATATAAGCAATGCAAATTTGATTGCTATGAGTGCATAAATACAAAAGCCTTAGAATTTTTAAAAGTACCAAACAATGGCGGAGGTTATTTCGGGTTTTCATGACAACTGAAACTATTTTCATCTCCATATTTGTGTGCTGTTTATCACATATATTTGCATGTTCCTATCATGGTAAAAATATTCAAAAGGCTTTAGATATTAAATTGTAAAAAATAAAAATAAACTGTGTAATCTCCCATTAACGTTCGTGCGTCCTAAATAATATCCTACAACCCATCTGAAATCAATTGTTTGAGTCACCTAACTCAGTCATGGACTGGCTAATGAGATTCTGCGTTTTTTGAAAAAACACAAGAGCTCGCGTAATAGTTTACGTGCTGTTGAGAATCGTTGCACTTCTATTTGTCCCTCTGTCCATCTTGGAAGCCATGCAGATATTAAATGTATCCCTAAATGTCATAGTCCAGCCAAGTTTTTTTTTTTAACAAGTGGGAGTTTGACAATGTTTGCTTTTTTTTGACAATAGCTGATTTGTTCAGGTTTGGTTTTATGATTATACTTACGATTATTTCATCTATGTTCTGGTTAAAGTATAATATTAGATTAAACTAAAGTAGTTAGTGTATTTACATTAATCATTACTGGTTAAGAACTGGGTATCTTACCTTTGTTTTAGTTTTATGTTTAGATTACATAAATTCCCTAACAGTTAACTGTTTAGGGTTTAGGTTTACTCTAGCTTACTCATAAAACTGCAGAAGTATGTTATTTCTTACTAGAGCTGAGAAATAATTTACAATGTTACCTTTCGTGTTGAGGCCTGATAGTAAATTTCTGAGCTTTCCCAATAAGCACTACACGTAGCTGAAAAATTAAGATATTTCAATATTTATTGTTCTATCAAAGCAAATTTGCGAAGTAACAATTTCACCTAAACTTGTCCGCACAATGATTGACTTTGACTTGCGCTATGCAATCGTCTATTCGGGCATTTGTCGCATTCGTGCAAGTGTTCATTCGGGCATTTGTCTCATTTGGGCAAGTGTTCATTCGGGCATTTGTCGCATTTGGGCAAGTGTCCATTCGGACAAGTGTCCATTCGGACAAGTGTCCATTCGGACAAGTGTCCATTTGGACAAGTGTCCATTCGGACAAGTGTCCATTCGGACAAGTGTCCATTCGGACAAGTGTCCATTCGGACAAGTGTCCATTCGGACAAGTGTCCTTTCGGGTCTTTGTTGTAGACCCCTTACGACCTATGCCTACGGCGCTATGCCCGAGGTGCTATGCCCGTGGTGTTATGCCCGCGGTGCTATGCCCGAGGTGCTATGCCCGTTGTGTTATGCCCGCGGTGCTATACCCGTGGTGCTATGCCCGTTGTGTTATGCCCGCGGTGCTATACCCGTGGTGCTATACCCGTGGTGCTATGCCAGTGTCTCTATGTTCACGGCCTATGCTCATCAAGGATCCAAAAAAAAATATAATAAAAGATCGCATGCATCCGGTAATCAATGACTTTACCACGCTTCAAATGATAAAAGTCTAAATATTACTATTGACGTGTGCCTTATATTTTTAACTTAAAATAAGTTTGATTATGTTTGGTAATACTTAAATATTGAATATCATGAATGTTATCAACAATGTTATCAACAAAGAGTAAATTAGGGAACTGTAGAGGCTTACAATTCTAGCTATGTTAAAACATAGGCCTACATTACACTAATAATCATTTCGTAAACATATTAAAGTTTACTTAATATCAAAAGCATAAAGATTTAGCGCATACATGTATAAATATAAACTGAAAGCTATGTACTGTTGATAAACTGTTGATAAACTGAAAGCTATGTACTGTTAATAAACCGAAAATTATGTACTTTGGATAAAGGGTTAATCAACTTAAACTATGTATGGTTTATAAAATGAAATTGTGTACTGTTGATTAAAAAAGTGAGTAGAGTTTTGGATAGTGTTATTAATGACTCACATTCATACCTGCTGCTGTGTGTGTGCTATTAATGACTTACTTTCACACTTGTTGGGGTGCGTGCTATTAATATAGAACCTAGGATAGCATGAACATGAGAAACTTCCTTCAGTGTTGGTACATATTTGCTCACATGGATTCCCAACAGTGCATTCATTGATGTCTGAAAATATATTTACTCGCTTCTTACATAGTTCTTGTTTTTCTGATTGAAAAGGGTGTATGACTACATTCACTAACTTTAAGATTCAGAGAATATAAAACCATGCTTAAAAATAAATTTATACCGTCTCAAAATTTAATCATAAAAATCGTGTGTATTTTGAGCTCGAACAGTTTTCATAAAAATGTTGGCTTCGTTGTTTCTTTTTCACATTATAAAAAGACTTTCTCTCGTATTAAAACCACTGTAAATATAATAAACCTGATAAACTGCTGTAATGAACAGTTTTCAACTAACCGTTACATCTTGTAGTGTCTGTGATATTAGTCACGTAACCAGAATTGCATGAACATAAGAAGCTTCCATTTGTGTTGGTACAAATCTGTTCACAAGGGCTTGGAGTTTGGATGTTGCATTCATCTACATCTGAAATATATATATATATATATATATATATATATATATATATATATATATATATATATATATATATATATATATATATATATATATATATACATATATATATATATATATATATATATATATATATATATATATATATATACATATATACATATATATATATATATATATATATATATATATATATATATATATATATATATTTTCTATCGACACACCACCGCGAAAGGCTATTCAAATTGATTGATTTATCCCGATTTATCCATTCCTTACATACGCCTGTTAAAAAATCATCGGAACACAGCTCACCCATTTTTTTCACCCAACTACCTACCCCCCTCTTACCCTACCTACTGCAACGGCACTCAAGTTATCGTGTCACACACACACACGCACATACACACACAGACATACGGACAAGATTGCAAAACTATGTTTTTTCGACTCGGGGGGTGTAAAACGTGAAGAATTATTTTTTTTGCATGATTTCAAGATTTTCTCTATACTTTGTATATACGAGAAAGTGAAAAGGTGACGAAATTACAGGCATATTTGTAAAATGTACACATCAGTGACGGTAAAATAAAAAAAAAATTAATATACAAAAACAGTTGTGAGTATTTAAGGTGATAAATAAATAAATAATACACAGTCATGTCTTACTCGTTGTTTGATACGAACCCTAAAATGCTGAAAAAGTTCCATCTAAGCCGTTTTGCAAATAATATAGTCTTGATTAAAATGTGCATGTTATTAGGATTTTATTTTTTCAGAAATAAGAAATGACTACTTTGACAAATATCCTACAACCTCTTCTCCTTCCTTAAAACGCCCTACTAGTTTCGGTGATCACGTCATTAATCTAACCCTTATTCATTGCACTATTGTGAATTTACTGATGTTTTCTAATACTGTTGCAATAGATGCGTTTATTGACACAACATACATTGTTTTAAATTTGATTTTTTGATTTTTTGTACCATCTTAAACTTTCTCTAATGTGTATCTTCCTCTCTTCTTCTTCGTTCTTAATTATTAGTGTTGAAGGGGATCGAGATTTATCTGCCAGTGGGTTTGAACTCCAGATTCTAATGTGTATAAATGGGAACACCACACACGACATGCACGAAAGCTGGTGAATCGTTCACTAGGGTAGAAGGTTCAATCAATTAAAAAACAGCTTAGGCAATAATACATTAACTAAGTTCCAGACAGTAACATACCATCACACATATTGGTGTTAGTGCTACTGATGAACATTACATGTTGCGCGACGTACACTATCGTCAGTAAAGGCGTGTACGTGATTTCACAACACAAAGTAACATACCATCACACAGATTAGGGTTAGCTATGTTGATGATGTAGCCAGCGTTGCATGAACACGAGTAACTTCCTGCTGTGTTGACACAGTTCTGCTGACAAGTGTTTGTGCTTGGATTTGCACATTCGTCGATGTCTGAAATGTTTTTGTTTAGCACGTGACCTTAAGTATTAACAATAACCAGTGTATTTTATGGGTGGGAGGGGGTAGCTATTGGTTAACACTTTTATGTCCAAATAACAAACAGATAAGCATATTAAATTATTATGCTGTTGCACATTTTAAAATCCCAGAAAATTGTTTTGAGATTACAAGGCAGATTATTACAGAAATTATAAAGAAAAGGATACAACTACCAAATGTAAGTTATTGCTTGAAGAATGTGATGGAACTACGTTTGTAATCTTAGTCATAAAAATATTAAACCTAAAAAAAAACGTAATAAACTAGAACAACTGATAGTACTTAAGTGTGATATTTAGATGAATAGTCGCACTCAACTCTTCTTCTTCTTTTGTTTCCTTCTTAATTTTTAGTGTTTAAACTCTAGACTTTTTATAAATTTTAACAAACATTAGTTTTGCCGACTCGATCACGTCTCCAAATTGTGAGGCCATTGACTCCGATTTCTGCCTGCTTTTCTTTTTGGATTTGCTTCCATAGCCTTTGTCCAACCAAGAACAAACTACAAGGCAGCAGTTGTTTGATTTTAAAGATGTCTCTCCTAGAAGATTGGCTGTCCCCAGCTAACCAGCCGCATCTGCCTGAGGGTTCTTACTCGAGACTTTCCGATTAGAAACCATAAGGTCTAAACGACTCATCTCTCACTCGTTGTGCTTATATGACAACTAAAATTATGAATAAATAAATGTAGTCCGGATTAAAATGTATCTGTTACTATGATTTCATTTTTTCAGAAATAAGATAGTTACTTTGACAAATTTCCTGCAACCCCTGCTCCTTCCCAAAATAATGTCGCTCCCTTTGGTAATGACATCATTAATTTATTTGTCGTAGTGTTCTAATACTTTAGTAATAGACGGGTTCATTAATACATATCTACAATTGTTTCAATTTTCTTTTATGTAACATCTTAAATATGAGTACCAGATACTGCTAAAATCAAAGCTGCCAAATCATCAGGCAATGGGTTCAAAAAATTAAAAGAAAAACATGTGCCAGAAATAACATACCATCACACATATTGGGATTATTGGTGCGGATGATGTAGCCAGCGTTGCATGAACACGAGTAACTTCCTGCTGTGTTGACACAGTTCTGTTGACAAGTGTTTGTGTTTGGATTAGCACATTCGTCGATGTCTGAAAATAAAGTATAAAATAAATAACTACTCACTTACAGTAATCAACCTGAAGTGTCTCAAAAGATTCTTAACACTATATATAACTATAATTATTTTTTTTATTCAGCCCGTCATCTATCTAAAATATGGAGTATAAAGTCCGGTTAGAAATAATGGCGTTATAAAGAAAAACGGACAAAACATTGGTACAGAGGCGTAGCGAGAGGGGGGGGGGGCGGGGGGGGACATATGTCCCCGGGCGCCGACCTTAGGGGGGGCGCCAAATTGAAAGTTTGAGGGGGGGGGGGTGCAAATGAAAAGTTCGAGGTGGGGGGTGCAAATCGAAAATTTGCTCCCGAGGGGGGCGCCAAATTGAAAGTATGTCCCCGGGCGCCGGGAAGGGTCGCTACGCCTCTGCATTGGTAGCACTGTTTATATGATTTATTCAGTGAATAATTGTACAGCTAGCTAGAATGGCGCCGAAAGGGGTAAATAAAAATATAAACGCTAATTTTAATTTGATGTTTTCAATTATAAGCAGTTAAAGATAAACCAGCTTTTCCTAGATGGGAGGAGGGCGTTTATTCCGACTAAAATTTGAAGGATTTACACTGGATTGGTGAGATAACAAAATTTACCACTTATAAAAACACAATTGTATTAAAGCGTATTATACGATTGTGTAACAGTAAAAAATGGTAGTGCAGTACAAACACGTTTTATCGACTATTTTCAAGATGGTGGTGGGATGCTTTTTGCCATATATATATATATATATATATATATATATTTATATATATATATATATATATATATATATATATATATATATATATATAGCCTATATATATATATATATATATATATATATATATATATATATATATATATATATATATATATATATATATATATGAGAGGTGACTCAGAAGTTGCCACTGGAGCCTGGAGGGGTCGCTACGCCTCTGTCTGTTATTGCAATTTTAATATTTCAGAAATAAGAAAAAGAACTACTTTGACAAATATCCTACAACCCCAGCTTTTCCCTCAAAACATGCCATTCCCTTCGGTAAAGACGTCATCAATGGAACACTTATTCATAGCACTTTTTTAAATTTACGGATGTGATCTAATACTTTTGCAATAGATGCGTTGATTAACACAACATACATTGTTTTAAAATTATTTTTTTTTGTTGTTTACCATATGTTTCTCTGTGTATACGAGGGAAAACAAAAAAAACGACATACACCGAAGCTGGTGAATCATTAACTAGGGTAGAAGGTTCAATCAATTTAAAAAACAGTTTAGGCAATAATACATTAACTAGGTGCCAGACAGTAACATACCTTCACACATATTGGCGTTAGTGCTGCTGACGATGTAGCCAGCGTTGCATGAACACGAGTAACTTCCTGCTGTGTTGACACAGTTCTGTTGACAAGTGTTTATGCTTGGACTTGCACATTCGTCGATGTCTGAAATGTTTCTAATTATGCACTTCACTTCTAATATTTACAATAACTAGGAACTTTGAGGGAGGGGGAATAGCTATTGTATAAATTGTGGAGCCTTTTTAGCATCATCAGAAATTATAAAGAGGATACAACTACTAAATGTAAGGTATTGCTTGAAAAATGTGATGGACCTACGTTTGTAATTTCAGTCATAAACATATCAAACATAAAAAATGTGATATACTAGAACAGCTGTAAGTTTTACACGTCATAAGGAAATGAATACGTCGCACTCATCTCTCAATCGTTCTGTTTATATGACCACTAAAATGATGAAAAAAAGTTCCATCTTCACCCGTTCTGCGTTAAATGTAATCCTAATTAAAATTTATCTGTTATTATGATTTACATTTTTCAGAAATAAGTTACTTTGACAAATTTCCTTCAACCCCTGCTCCCTTCCAAAACAATATCGCTTCCTTTGATATTGACATCATCAGTTTTTTGTGGTAGTGTTCTAATACTTTTTTTTAGTAATTAACGTGTTCATAAATACATATCTACAATTTTGTTTTTAAATTGTCCTTTATGTAATGTGTTAAATATAAGTACCAGATACAGCTTACACCAAAGCTACTAAATCGTCAGGACATGGGTTCAATAAATCAAAAGAAAACCATAGCTTGGGAAACAGAAAATGAACTAAGTGTCAGAAAGTAACATACCATCGCACATATCGAGGTTAGTGCTACTGATGATGTATCCAGCGTTGCATGAACACGAGTAACTTCCTGCTGTGTTGACACAGTTCTGTTGACAAGTGTTCGTGCTTGGATCTGCACATTCGTCGATGTCTGAAATTTTTAGTTTTTAACGTGACATCAAATAATTAAAATAACCGTTTTTATACACAAACTGTTATTCATTGACAATGTAGATCTTCGTTTAGCATCATCAGTTTTACTTTTGCGTTGCTTTTACAACCCTCGAGTATTTTTATGGCCAAATACAGACAAATATGCAAACATGTAAAAAAATATGTAAAGAATCCTCTTTAGACCAAGCAATCTTTTCGGCACTTGAAGTAGAGTTCATATGTTTCTTGACCTCGGCATATGAAGGGAAAGTATGGTCAGCACTTTGCCCAGCCGCCTTTACATTCCCTAACTTAGGGAGTTCTATTGACTGGGTCACGGACTCGGGACTTTTGGGTTAGGTTAGGTTTTAAAAGCCCTGAATATTGTCATCGAGGTTACCAAGCAAAAAGGATAAAGAAGTGGATACAACTACCAAATATAACACACTGGCTAAAAAATGTGATGGAATTACATTCATTAATTAAAGATTAATACATTACAAAATAATATACTTAAAAAATAAATAAATTGATAAACGAAAACAGTTGTTAGGTTTTAATAAATGAATGTTGCACTCATCTCTTACTCGTTTATGTGACCCTTAAATGCTGAAAAAGTTCCCCCTATACAGGTTTTACAATAAAGCATGATGAAAATAAATTTGTCGTCATTATTTTAATTTTTCAGAAATATTAAAAAAACCTACTTATTCAACCCCCTATTCTCAAAACAGAGAAATTCACACACCTTGGTAAAGACATCATTAATTGACAACACTTACTTATGCTATGATGGTGTATTTGTGGTAGTGGAATACACGCATTTAGCAATATATATATATATATATATATATATATATATATATATATATATATATATATATATATATATATATATATATATATATATATATATATATATATATATATATATATATACATTTTTGTTTTAATGTGCGTGTCTGGGGGGGGGGGGGGGGGGAACTATATTTATTTTTATTCTAAAAAAAACAAGCAAAGAGCTTACCCACACATCTTTGAATTTTTTTACTGTTGGCGACATAACCAGGTTTACAAGAACACACCATGACTCCGTTTTCATAGGTTGTTATCTCGTCATGTTTGCACTTTGCTAAATCAGTATAAGCATAAAAAAAGAATGAGAATGGGAATGGGAATTGGAATGAGAATGGGTAGAGGGAGAGGGTAAAGGGAATGGGGACGGAGAGGGAAAGTTATAGGGACAGGGACAGGAAATGAAACAAGAATAAGAATGAGAATTACAATATTATAATAATAATAATAATAATAATAATAATAATAATAATAATAATAATAATAATAATAATAATAATAATAATAATAATAATAATAATAATAATAATAATAATAATAATAATAATAATAATAATAATAATAATAATAATAATAATAATAATAATAATAATAATAATAATAATAATAATAATAATAATAATAATAATAATAATAATAATAATAATAATAATAATAATAATAATAATAATAATAATAATAATAACACACGTTTTTAGTAGGTGGACAAGCTCGGAATCTATGACATTAAAATGATATCCATTTCATGTAGCATAAATATAATGCCCAGGTCGTCGTTTTACCAAAAGAATGATTAACCAATTGTTAATTTGGCGAATAGCGGCACCAAAACTAATTAAATAGATGACCAATCGTGTTTTTCTATAAGTGATTTTAAACTTCTTCAGGCTAACTAATCATATTTGACATTTTAATCAATATTGTGTTAGGTATACACGTAAGTCTAACTAATTAAACAAAATATATTTATCATGTATTTGTTTAATCATGTACTTACGTTGTGCATGGGTTAAGCAGAAAAGTAAGATTGCGGCAAGGTGTATGTTTGAATGCGAAAGCTTCATGTTTATACGATGTATTGCGTGACTTATTACTGAGAATAAAAAAAACTCAAATGACAATAGCTTAAAATAGCTAAGTATAATCTAGCACATAAATTATTTTAAAAAATAAACCTCAAATCAGAAAAAAGATTAATATTCTGTTGTGATATGTTTATACAAGTGGATTAAAGCAAAGTTATTTTAAAATAAATTCAGTGTTTGTAGCAGAGTTTTCTTCACCCAATTTTTTCTGGGGTGCACTGAACATTCTTGAAAGGTGTCTGTCTGTTTGTCTGTCTGTCTGTCTGTCTGTCTGTCTGTCTGTCTGTCTGTCTGTCTGTCTGTCTGTCTGTCTGTCTGTCTGTCTGTCTGTCTGTCTGTCTGTCTGTCTGTCTGTCTGTCTGTCTGTCTGTCTGTCTGTCTGTCTGTCTGTCTGTCTGTCTGTCTGTCTGTCTGTCTGTCTGTCTGTCTGTCTGTCTGTCTAACTGTCGTTCTGTCTGTCTAACTGTCGTTCTGTCTGTCGTTCTGTCTGTCGTTCTGTCTGTCGTTCTGTCTGTCTGTCTGGAAAACAATTTTTTTGGTAAACCATGCTGTCATGTGAGCATTATAGCCCTAAGTTCTGTTTAATGCATGCGATACACAATGGTTAAAATGAGCTACTAAAATCGTTAACTAAATCTAATGAGGCACGTACTCCGGCGCCCCGACAGATAGCGATTTGTAGCCCGGGTTCTCCCGTAAGTACTATGGCGCATACTTCGTTTTAAATTGTGCAATGCACTATGTACACGTAGCGCTACTAAAATCACTCACTAAATTGAATGTGCGCGGTGCCAACGCCCCGGCGTTCGGGTGACCCGGAAAACCCCGGGCTCCCAGAGAGCACTGGTGCTTACATTAGTTTTAAAGAGTGCGCTAGATTAGGGACACGGTAACACACTACATTCGATTATTAAACCGAGCCAGGTTCGTACCCAGCGACCTTGCGATAGTGTAACTTGTGGCTCCCGAAAGAGCCTCGTGACGTTACTGACGTATGGGAGACCTCTATATTAAGGAGGCTGATTAACGTACACTCAAAGCTTTCATACATCATGCCCAGTGGTCTTCTGGGCGGTAGTATGGACAAACCCGCCCCAAACAATTATGATCCAAGAAATTTTGCCCCTGATTAAAACTCAGTTATATAAAACAAGGTCACGCGTTCAAAAAACAACGATTGGTAACGCCTTGATGAAATTCTCTAAAAATATTGCAACAGCCGTTTTTCTGAGACCGCAGCAAAGCGCGGGAGTGGGTACGCTGACACTATAGATCTAGGTTACATTACTATTCACGTAACTTTAAAGAAAAGCGTTGGTTGGTTATATAAGTTCTGATCTTGTAAGAGTATTCAAAAAAAATATAATGTTTTTCCACGCCAGGTATTGACCTGAATGACTGACAGACAGGCAAAAGTCAAACTGCACCACAGAATAAGCTAGATGAACTATGAATTAAGCTAATCGAAAAGATAGAAAGTAAAATAATCATAATTATTAATTCGTACAATTTTCATTCTTATTAATACGTTTATTTCCTATTATTAATGTTCTATTATTGAAAACAATTTACATGTAGTAGATATAGAGTAGACAGAGTTAATCTCTCCCCTTTTTACTTTCTCGTATATACGAAGTATAGAGAAAGTATTGTAATCGTGCAAAAAAAAAATCGAGATTTTTTGCAAATCTCGACGTTTTACACCACCCTGAGTAGAAAAAACATAGTTTTGCAATCTTGTCCGTATGTCTGCGTGTGTGTGTCTGTCTGTCTGTGTGTGTGTGTGTGTGTGTGTGTGTGTGTAAACACGATAACTTGAGTACCGTTACAGCTAGGTAGATGAAATTTCATATATAAGTATTATATCAAAATCGTAGATGCGTTTCAACTTTTGAGCGTAAAAAATGCTTAAAATACGTTTTTGTAAAAAAGCGTTTATGTAATAATGCACTAAAAAGGAAAAAAAAAATTATTTTCTTTGAATATATAATAATACACTACTATTTAAATTACTATAAAGAAAAGCATGGGTCTCTTCCTAAATATTAGTTAAGTTATCCAGATAATAATATAGTAACCTTTGCTTTTTCAATAGTTATTTAAATAGTAGAGTATTATAATATATTTAAAGAAAGTCATTTATTTTCTCTTTTTACTTTCTCGTATATACGAAGTATAGAGAAAGTCTTGTAATCGTGCAAAAAAAAATCGAGATTTTTACAAATCTCGACGTTTTACATCTCACTGATACGGAAAAACATAATTTTGCAATCTTGTCCGTATGTCTGTGTGTGTGTGTGTGTGTGTCCGTGTATAAACACGATAACTTGAGTACCGTTACAGCTAGGTTGATGAAATTTCATATATAAGTATTTTATCAAAATCGTAGATCAGTATCAACTTTTGAGCGATTTCCGATAACCGGAAGTGGTACTTTTTCTACTTTGAATTTTTCAAAGCCTATAGCTTGAGTACTATTTCAGATAGATAAGTGAAATTTCACATGTATGTAAAAAGTCTAATTTTCTGCTTTTAGTTAAATTGTGAGTAATTTCAGTAATTTTTCACTATTTCCGATTTCTCAAAAAACGCATGTGAATTTATAATGTACTAATAATATTCCGTACTATTATACACATCTTTATTCGGCGTTCGCTTGGTGCGCAATTCTTTTTTCTATGAGATTCTATTCTATTTTAAAAAGTTTAAGTATTTAAAATGGATTAAAAATCCTAACTATGTCCCGAGTTCCCATCAACTGTTGTTTTATATAAGAATATTGGAGAAAGTTTAGGGGAGATCACTCCCGGTTTATTTAGACAGCGAATACATTAGAGAGTTAGTTACGTTTTTCACAATTTTAGATTTAGCTCCTACATAATAGCTAGTACATAGAATAGTTTTCAGCTTAAAGCAACATATAGTTATTTGCGCTTTAAAGTAATTAACGTATGCATGACCGAAAGTGTTAATTTAAGTAAGAACTCACCAGAGTAAAGCGTTGACTTTGTGTACAAAAGGAAATCATATCCCATAGCTATGTGTGCGCTGTATTATA